CTTCATCCAGGTTTTTAAATGTCCCCAGTCATTTTGTCTCGGTAAAACTTCATCTGTTCACTGACACCCACATTGTTTCTGATTTTTATTACCCATTCAACGACATACGCTTAAAAATGAATAGCTTTGGAATCTTGACAAGTGTCACAGGAGAAAATAAATTAGAGATGATGCAGTTGTTATGCACAAGGTCGCTGATAAACTCTTTGACNTAGTTTNCCCCATTAAAAACTGACAATTCCAAAAATACATCACAGCGAAAAAAATACTGAAATTCGCGAAAATCAGCAAAATTCTCACTTTTTTCGCTGAGATTTCCAAAATTGTATTATTTTCTGTACAAATCAAAGGCTTAGGCTGAAACGGTTACCGGAAAACTGGTGTTTTAGCCTAAGCCTATAATATGAGACAAAAATCGGAAACTCCAATAAATTCAGTCAAAAAGTACTATAAAACAAAAAAGTGTAGTCAAAGAGACAAGTGTAGTCAAAGAGATAAATTTAGTCAAAGAGATAAATTTAGTCAAAGAGATATTGTAGTCAAGGAGAATGTGGAGTCAAAGACTGGTGTAGTCAAAGAGTAATTGCCAAAAATTTTGTTTATAGTTAAACACAGTAAAATCCGTCCATCATGAATACCTAATAGCCATTATTTTTACAAGTTTGCTCCCGATACAAACTTACTTGCTGGTCTGTTGACAAGCTCAACGAACTCGCCATGGCATCTAGTGCAAGCAACTGCGGCTGACGCATCAATATCAAATGAACGATGACATTGGTGACAAAAATATTGAGGCATTCTGTTTGAGGGGAAAAATACTATAACATCTCTTGACTTTTTTGAAATAATTTGAGCATGGATTTCAACCCATAAAAAAATAAAAGAAGCCCAGGAAAACATGGTAGTATTTTGAATCGAAAAAATCAAGCCGAAACAGAACAGGTAACAAGTAAAGATTAAAACAACAACGAAAAAAAACATATTCATGAGTTATTTCCTTCTCCCTCCACGCTTTGCTTCATTCGGGTTGCGACTTTGTTTGGATCGGTTATTAATTGTTCGAACTCCGAGCATAGCCGACCTAAAAATATTTACTTTTAATGTTAAACAAATTCAGAAGATGAGATATCTCTATAATCTACTACTCGAAACAGTATCTCGTTTTTAAACGGCGCATCTAGATTTCAAATGCGGCTTCCAGATTCCAGGTTCTCGGGTGCCAGTCTTTTTGTTAATTCGAAAATACAAGGCGTGTGCAATCATATTTCAGAAACATAATGTTTTCACCTTGAGTTGACATCGTGAATAGAAAATGGTCCATCAGCAAGAGGGTCCAGATGAACTTTGGCCATCCGCATATGTGGCATTGGCTGATCTTCAAACAGGCGTTCATTGACTGCATGTTTTCCGCCTTTTGGATTTGCGAGAGTATAACGAAGCCCTCTTCTGTTTGCCAAACGGTTCCAGTTGATATGCAACTGTTGCTTACCATCCTCATCAACAGATACAGCGCACTAAAATCAACGGATTATCAACTATTATCGAAGTTGTTCAATTCGTAGAATTTATTGGAAACTAGACTCACTTTGTGCAAGGTTTTGTGACCACACGATGGACAAAACTCCTTCGTCATAACGCTAGTAGTTGTGAAGCACGTCCGGCATCGAAGAACAAAAGATTTAAGCTTGCGAATTCGGTATCCGGACAACGAGACCAAACTGAGATTCATTGCAAGAAGAACGTTTTGAAGAGCGAAATCGGTAGTCAGACATCCAACGATCATATTCTCTTCAATCTCAAACGCTCCTAATTTCTTCAGTGTCTCTTCTATATTATCTTCGGTAATCCAACCCTCGTCGTCACTTTCTGATTCATCGCTTGTTTCTGAATTGTGATCTCCCTCCGATAGGCCCTCTTGGTCCTCAACCACAGACTCTGCCTCTTCTTTTTCTTGCTTGTTGTCGGCTTCTGTACTTCCGTCAATTTCAACTTTTCTAACTTTTTCGCTCAAATCTTCGATAATTTTTTTGTTTTCTTCTTCTGTATATTCTGAGACTTTCTTTTCGGAAACGTACTGTCCGTGAAGATCGTAAGTCAATGCAATCATTTTGATATCGACCATCGAAAGTGATTGGAAATCTCCGGTGGTCTTTGAAGCATCAATAACAGCTCGCAAAGCATTTTGAGTCGGTTCTCTGAGAGTTATTTCGAACGGGAGAGTTGCCCAAACTCTGCGGGCCTCCGAAGAGCGCAATTCATCCAAAATTTGAGGGGGTGCATAGTAATGATCAGCTAATGTCTGTAAATTACATCTCAGTATTCATCCGAAACACTCAAACAACTCACATGAAGACCGCGGTTCGCAATTATTGCGCCCGTGTCAATCACCATATGCTTAATCGGATTTTCTTTGCTCGTCATCTGTAAAACAAGTAGTTGGAATGCATGATGCTGGGAAAAAAAGAAATCGATTTGTGTGGAAACATCTAGAAAACCGCATGCGACACCAACTTGGGATAGAATTGTAAATTTATGTGGCGATGAAAATATCAGAAACATGAATTTTTTCAAATTCGAGGAAAAACGGGACTAACATTGGGAACTGTGAAAAGCGTTCGAATGTCGTCAAAACTGAAAAAAAGTTTTCAGGTCCGCAACGACACTCCGCCATTACGGCAGCGCGTGTTGTTTAGCGATTACATTTTTCTATTTTTTTTTTCATTATATTTAATCTCTCGTGTTTTGAAACTAGGTGTTTTCTCAAAAGTCATTAATTATATCTTCAAATATTATGGAGCTGAAATCAAAACGAAAAGTATATCTTTATTCGCCGACCTGTTTTCCTTGAAGCTGTTCTGGCCCCGGGCTCTCTTCATATTTCAAGTTGGGCGCTGCAACAAAACTTACTTTCATAATTCAATCAATCTGTAATGTTAGCAACATATTTTATCGAAATCACAAAATTCATTGAAGTTAATTCAATATAAACAGATAAAATCGATATCCCTTATACAACATCGAAGGGTTATTATCAATCATGTCCGCGTCTTTTAATATTCAGAAAGGTGTCGCATTAAACAAGAAGTATCAAAATTCCTAAATAGATCAATGCGTCGGCTCGTAAACAGTGTTGCTTTCTTGATGCCGAAGTAGACGTTGTCCTCCCACTCTATAAGTATTCGCATCTGCTCGAATTTCCCCCTATTTGTCTTTTATTTCATTATTTTTTGTATAGACAATGCTTTTCATCGCCAACTATATTTTCTTTTTACTAGAGAGTCCGATTAAATTTTTAATTATTTAGTCTCCTCGCCTCCTCTTTTTTTTCTGCCTTCTACTCTTCTCTCTTTTTTCTCGCTTGACCACATTCAATGTGAGAGCTTTTTCTCTCTCCTGCAACTGGTAGCCCCCGGAAGAGCAGTCAATGCGCTCAAGCCGATTTAACACCCGTTTACTCGTCATTTTCACCTGTCTTCTGAATATCATTTCCATGGAGATTCGATGAAAACTTAAATCCACCGTATGGTGCACCGACGGTTGTTTTTGGCTTGTATAATTTCCATTTGTATAAATATTTCGCTTTTCCGATCTAACATCGTGCTGAAAATTTATTTCTAAATCTCATATTCCATATTTCAGAATGTCGAGTGGAAAACGGCGTAATCCGCTTGGACTCAGTCTACCTCCAACGGTGAATGAACAAAGCGAATGTGGCGAGGCAGCCGCGGTGAGTATATTTTATCTTCTTTGTCAAATTCTGAAAATTTAAATAGTCTTCACAGAAACCAGACAGAACTGAATTATCTTCATCCGTTGATTAGCCAATTAGCACTTATCTGGTTATTATTGAAGGAAAACTTTTCTTTTAACAAAAAAATACATTTTTATATATTTATGAATGCTAAACCAAATATTGAAAAATATTTTTAATGTCATGAATAACCTCATTATCTTTTCCAGGAAGAAGCAACCGCCACTGTTCCACTCGAAGAACAACTAAAAAAACTTGGGCTTACAGAACCACAGACACAGCGTCTCAGTGAGTTTCTTTTAGCGAAGGAGGGAATAAAGGTAATTACTGCATAGAATCTGAAATGCAAAAACTAGTTCCTCCCAGGAGTTAAGCGAAGATATGTTGCAAACTGAAGGCGAACTGGGGCATGGTAATGGTGGCGTTGTCAACAAAGTGAGTTAACAATCATTGACAAGTTTGTGAATGCTCAATTTCAGTGCGTTCATAAAAAGACAGGAGTCATAATGGCTCGTAAACTGGTCCATCTGGAAATCAAACCATCCGTACGCCAGCAGATTGTCAAAGAATTAGCAGTTCTTCACAAGTGTAACAGTCCTTTCATCGTCGGATTTTATGGCGCTTTTGTGGATAACAATGACATATCGATATGCATGGAATACATGGATGGACTTTCACTTGACATAGTTCTCAAAAAAGTGAGTTAGAAAATATTTTATTCTTAATGTACAAATATGATTCATGACATCATCATTTGGTTTAATATCCTGGAGCAAGGCGAGCTGGGGGACAGTGCTCGCATGATCCTGGAGATCCAGCTTCTCCTGGAGCTCCTGGAGTACCAGCTTGTCCTGGTGGTCCTGGTGGTCCACGTTGTCCTGAAGCATAATAGAACTATAGTAATAACGGTACACGATTTCTTTACCTGGCTCTCCTGCAACACCAGCGTCTCCGTTGCTTCCATCTTGTCCTGGCGATCCAGCTTTTCCTGGTTGTCCTGGAGCTCCTGGTCTTCCTGGTGGTCCTGGGGGTCCTGGTGGTGCATCTCCTCCTGGAAGAAGTGCTCCGGGCTCTCCTGGTGGTCCTCGTTGTCCGGGTTGTCCTGGCTGTCCTGGTGGTCCTGGTGGCCCGGCTGGTCCTTGTGGTCCTGGCGCTCCGTCTTCTCCGTTTCTTCCAGGGTTTCCTGGAATTCCGTCTTGTCCTGGTGGTCCTGGTGGTCCACCGAGTCCTGGAGCAGCAGTACATGGGCATTGTGGTGGAACTGGGAGAATCCTATCATGAAGTTCAGCATCTGGTCCTGGTGGTCCTGGCTCTCCTGGCCCAGATCCTGGTTCTCCGTCTTTTCCTGGTTGTCCTGGTTCTCCATCTGGGCCTGGTGGTCCTTGCTGGCAAGTGCAACATTGAGCATCAGCTTGACGGGTAGCTCTGAGCAAGACATCGAGTGGGTCATTTGGTCCTTCTGGAGCAACTTCAACCATCTCTCTCCACATATCACGCGAGCGCGATTTGCAATATTCCACCTCTCCTTGAACGGAAGCTTGAAGAGTCTGGACGTAATGGAACACCAACGGGAAAGCAATTAAAACAGCTGTAACTGCCACTGTTGAGAAAGTAACAGCGACAAATGCCACACTTCTCAGCGATCCTTTGCTTTTCTCGTCCATCTGGAAAACATACATTCAAAATAATTTTAAAAATGACAATGAAACGATGGAAGACAAATTCGTATGAGAAGGTAGAATACAACTTATTGAATAGCTTCCACAGAGAAAGTGACATCTTCCCCAGAAAACAGTCATTTGTATAGCTTCCTTCGATGCTTATATGCGGTCGCACAGGTGGAACGAAACGGCAAGTCGCGCACTTCTGCGCTGCGTCTCCGATACAGACATGAAGTTTCTCCCGTTGCGCACTGAACATCCATCTTTTTGTTCTATACATGCCCTCTACATTAGATAATTGTGACGCCAGAAATGTCAAAGTGTAAAAATATGTGTTCAAAGAATCGGAGAGCAATTCTGATAGTAGTTAATTTTTTTAGGTTGGCCGCCTTCCTGAAAAGTTCGTCGGAAGAATTTCGGTGGCTGTTGTCAGAGGATTGACATACTTGAAAGACGAAATCAAGATCTTGCACAGAGGTTTCAACATCACATCTTCATCAATCAATCTCCTTTTTTTTAGATGTCAAGCCGTCCAACATGCTTGTTAATAGTAACGGAGAGATCAAACTGTGTGATTTTGGTGTGTCAGGAATGCTGATCGACTCTATGGCTAACTCATTCGTTGGTACCAGAAGCTACATGGCAGTATGTGTAGTCATATTCTTTCTTCACTGAAATCTATTTTTCAGCCGGAACGACTGACAGGATCTCATTACACCATTTCATCGGACATTTGGTCGTTTGGCTTGTCCCTCGTTGAGCTTCTGATAGGACGATATCCTGTTCCAGCTCCATCTCAAGCCGAGTATGCTACAATGTTCAATGTGTCAGAAAATGAAATAGAGCTCGCTGATACTCTCGAAGAAGCCACATATCATGCACCAAGCAATCCTGCTTCGATGGCGATTTTCGAGATGCTTGACTACATTGTCAACGGACCACCTCCAACCCTTCCGAAACGCTTTTTTACGTAAGTTCTGTGTTTTAAAAGTAGTTATTTACTGAAGAACCACCAAACCAATAGTTCAATGTTTTAGTGATGAAGTCATTGGATTCGTATCTAAATGTCTCCGGAAGCTTCCAAGTGAGCGTGCAACACTGAAATCTCTCACGTCTGATGTATTTTTCACTCAATATGCCGACAGTGACGATCAAGGAGAATTTGCGGATTTTGTGAAAGGCACTCTCAACTTGCCCAAGTTGAACCCATAATCACCAGATCCCTTTTTTGTATATCTCTTGTAGCCTTTTCGAATCTCACGTCATACATTTTGCCCTGTCTCTGTCAAAAACCAAAGTTTTCTAGTCTAATTGACTATCTAATCACTCTTTTCTCTTACTCCAACTTGTGTTAATTAACCCATTTATTTTCTCATCAAGGTAGAACATTATGAGAACCGTTCATTCACTATATTCATCAATTATAACTAACATGTATAATATAGATCTATAGATCCCATCCTTTTTTCAATCCGATTTCTTTGTGTCCGGCTCCTTCCCGTGAGTTTTCTGCGTCGCTTTTTTCAGAGCTGTGTCTGAAACAAAAAAAATTTGCTACCCCATTTTTAAAAAAATATTAGATTAGAGCAACAATTTTTCTATGTTGTTATTACCTTGTAGATTCTCAATCATAATCTAAAGCTATACGAGAATGCAGCTTCTGATAAAAATATTCTTATATTTTTGTTTCCTATTTTTTTACGTTCCGGTTTTCAATCTGGATTCTTTTATCTATTCATTATTTACCTGGTTCATCAGGCGTTTTTGAGTTGATATAAACGACAGTGAGAAAAACCAGAAGCGCGACAAGCGGTATAAACACGTGTACAGCTGAAAATGTCGTAATGAGTATGCCGTGCTGTTATGAATAACTTACATTCGACTAGATTATAGACGGCGTCCATCGTGTGTGTGTGTGTGTAGTAATGTTGTGGGTGTTGACTCGCCTTTTCTTAGAGCAACGCGCTCTCTCCTACTACGTTTGATCGATTTTGAGAAAGCGTTGAAGAAACGAAAAGAAAGCGGAAAGGAGGCTCGAATAAGAAAAAGAAGACGCCTTCTTTGACATCCAGTGTAATAAAAATAGGACCACTGCGAATTTTGTCGATGTAGTACCAACTCAAAAACAATTTTATGTTTGAATGAAAAAAAAGTTATAATTGAAGAGGAATGGCAACTGGTAACCGTGTTCCCGAGAACTTTCAAACTCTGTCTCCGATTGTGAAGGCTCCTTTGTCCGACACGCTTTCGGTGCCACTCTCGCAGCAGGGACGTATCTGTGGATTCTTCGAGTCTCAATTCTATCGATGCATGGAAGCCTATGGAGCTAAAATGGGACGGAAATATTGCGATCTCGAGCATCGTGACTATCAAGAGTGCATCACTGGCGACAAACAGAAGAAGGTTGAAAATATACACTTCAAATTCAGGGAACTTGATTTTCTTCCAGAGAGCTGAAGCGATTGCTGCTCAGCGCAGGAAGCTGTTCCTCGAAGGCAAACTCGATTCACCATTCCTTGACAATCACCCGGAACCAGGCCAATTCAAGACCGACCATTTCCAATGGAACCGCATCAACTAAAACTTTGTTGTCAGGTGTTTTTAGACCGAGATCGAATTTTTTTTCTAAGTGATTCATGTAGATCCTTTTTTAAATAAAACATTTTATTGACAAAAAACACATTTAAACCAGTCAATTTGTAACTAAGAGATCCATAATATCTAATACATTATTACCTACACAAGTTTTGAACATTTTAAAAATGGAAGAAAAATTCTTGACTACCCCTTCCAAAAGGGTTGAATCCGTGGAAACCGTTAAATCCGCCACCGCCACGATGGGCATGGTGACCTTTTTCCGAATCGAGAGGGTCTTGTCCATTGTCGAACGCGCGTCTTTTCTCTTCGTCACTCAAAACTTCTTTTGCGGCGGCGATATCTATGAATTTCTTCTCAGCTCTTTTCTTTTCCTGTTCATTTTGGAAGTTGTCTGGGTGCCATTTTTGAGCCATCTTCCTGTAAGCTTTCGTGATTTCTCTTTTGTTGGCATTTCTCTTGACGCCAAGAATCTTGTAATAATCGCGTTTTCCGACAAGCTCTTTTGCTCGCTTGGCCTGTTCTTTTCCTGATTTCGCAGTCTCACTAGACGAATCCCATTCAATGGCTTTTTCATAGTCGGCTATGGCTGGAATAAATTATTGTTTTAGTGAACATTTCTTACGATTTCAAAATTGCCCAATCTCACCTAAATCATATTCCTCATCTGCCATATATGTCTCTGCTCGTTGAATCAAAGTATCCACGTCAGAGTCATCGAATTCTAGTACTTCGCTGCATTCCTGAACTGCCGTCCCTACATTTCCTTCTTCTCGGTTACAACGGCATGTGAGCCGGTAGACATTAATTTTGACGACAAGCTCCTGATTATCTGATTGGAGAAGTTTAGCTCCAGTTTCCAGACAAGACGACCACTGTTCGTTTTCTATGGAGTTTTTCATTGAGTCCAAAAATTTGACAATTTTTCGAAGTGACTTGTACGAGGAATAGCATTTTTTTTGATCTGGGTTTAACTTGAGACAATCTCTGATAGAACTGAAAAAATGGGTCAGACAGATGAATACATGGAAATAATACCTTAACGCATCTCTCACGTTTCCAACTTCATACTCCAAAACTGACATATCATAAAGTAGATCTGTATTATCAGAAGACAGCTTTGAGGCATGTTTGAAATCGTGTATAGCGAGTTTGAGACGATTTTCGGCTATATGGCATTGTCCCCGTAATATGTATAGAAATGAATCCCAAGGATGGTCTTCGAGTAGTTTCGATGTCACTTCGTCGACTACATCACAGTTTTCACCAATTGCAAAACTTTTCAAAGCATTGAGATCGTCTTGATGCTGGTCGATGAGTTGCAACTTCGAATGTATGTCTTCATTGGAAGGTGTAATAGCGTCCTGTTATATTTTTCGATATCTATTCATATCAAAATGTAATATCGAACGTACCAAGTATTTCAAATCTAGAGCTGCATCTTCTAGCCGACCCATTTTCATTAAAACGTTTATTCTTTGTTGACGGGCTCCCACAAAGTCTGGTTTTTGCTCAAGAACTGTGTCAAGGTCCGAAAGACCTGGTTTTGTTCTTCCGATCGCGAAGTATGTTGTCGCACGGCGAAAAATGGCTTGATAATTGTCTGGATCTAGTTCGATTGCTTTATGATAATGTGTCAGAGCATCTGTGTACTTTTTCTGACAACGATTTTACTTTTTCTAAAAAGGAAAAACAGAAAACTTACATTAATGAATAAGGCATTTCCAGCTTCATATTCGCTTTTTGACCCAGTTTGATCATTGCCGGCAGTGAATCCGAAAAATAAAATTGCTACTACGAATAGGTTCTGCTTCATGGTTTGATGCATAATGACAGTAATCGGATGATTGAGATGAGATGACGTTTTGCAACGTTATCCCGGTAGATTTTTGAAAGTGTCTCGCACAGACCTAGGTAAGCTCGCTCTGTTGGATTTGGGTGCGAATTTTAAATTTTTAAAATTTCCAAATTTGACCGAAAAGTTCCAATCTTTTTTTAAAATTCAACTCAGAATTTAGAAATTGTAAAATGTTTTACAGAGCAACAATACATTCCGATCCGCAGAAGTTCATTTATCTCAACACATATCAACACAATGGACGTCACTCGCCCTCTACCCAAATTTCAAAAACATATTGTCTCAAATCTTCTGGACCGAGAAATTGGCAGCGAAAATCAAAAATGTATTTTGTATTCACGGTTATCATTTTCAGCAATGCATCACTACCAGTTTCAGACAAATCCGTCCAAAACTCATTCCATCACCACTCTCAACTGTTCGCTTCTTCATCTCAACTGACAAACCTTCAATTAATCGATTTTAATAAATGCGATCCTTCCATTTCTGATACTCAATTCGATAGTGATGCTGACTGTCTCGGATTCTCGCCCGATGGAAAATATCTAGCGTTTCACAGCCATGCTCACAGTGCAATATCAGTTCTCAAATATACTGGGATAGAAAACATGAAAGGTGCCAAAGATCAGTCCGATCCATTGGTAATTGTCTGCTACCGGTCTCAATAAGTTTTTTTTTCGAAATTTCAGAATTGCTTCGGAGGGTTTACGAAGTTCGAGCTAGCACCGATTACTAGAGAGCATCGATATCAAAACGAGAAGATTATTCGTAGCTGGTGGACAGATGATTCTTCTACTCTCATCATACAGCTAACAATTGAACAGTTCAGAGAAGAAGAACAGGCGCACGATGAACCTGATGAGGTACTTAGCAACCAATTAATTTAGATCTTAAGAAAATGTTTTTACAGGAAATTCTTGTTGTAGCCAATGACATTATGACCACAGAAAGTTATCAAAACGCCGCCGACGTTCCAGATCCTGTGGCATGGTTTGATGAAATTGTTGGAAGTGATTTCTATAGACCCGGACAGGAACAATATGGGAGGTCGACCATAAGCCGCCGTACTCAAAACTTTCATGACAGATTCATGTTCTTGAATCAATTTACTACTCTTAATGACGTAAGAGAGTACCACCATCAGGAATCAAGTGGTCGATACTATGAAAATGAGTTCACATGTGAAGATCCACCAAAAGCCATCCAGCACAGGGAGACAAGTCGGACCATGCCCTACTATTCAGCCGTGAAAGCAGCAGCACAAGTCGCTATCGATGAACAACGGTTTCACCGAGAATGTAGTAGAACTATGTCCGTGTTTCATGCGGTCACTTCATCAGCTCATCACGAATCAGAGGCGTATTTGGACGAGGACGATACATTTGCTTCCACTTCAAAAAGTGTTCGTCGTCTCAGAAGTCCTAATTCGTCACAAGAGGGAGGAACGAAACAAAAAAGGGCAAAAACGGATAGTTTTGTGTCAACTGCAATAGAAGAGGCTTGGAATTCAATGGACGACTATGAAAAATGGAATTCGGAAAACTATCCCAGATCAGTACGCCATGTGGTGCATCTACTCCAAAAGTTCCCAGAATATGCTGCAGATTTCAAAACTTCCGGACCCAATATCAACTGCCTCGGTTACTCGAGACCTGGCTCTGACACTAGAAGAGCTTCTACTGTTAGACAAAAACCATTTTCTGATCGGTTTCGAGAAATGCGTTCTTTTATAGCTGGATTGGATCAGTCGGACCCGGTTGATAAAAACGAAAAACCAGAAGCTACTGTAGTTTTTGTCGCTTTTCATGTTGAAGTGAGTTGCAGTTGTTAAAACTCTAACAAACGGTTTTTTTTTCTCAGACCAAGAAAATGATAAAACTTCCTTTCGAAAAGGTGTTCACACCATACCACTGTCATGGGAGGGATCGCCTTGTCGTTTTCTCATGTAACAACGATTTCATTCAAGTTTACCACTTGTCCGACGTTGATCACGAATGGATCTCTCAGAAACATTTTCGGTTATCGCAACTCGATTCAGAACCACTACAATTGAAATATCGAACTGGTACAATGCCAGGGATGCCGTCTCTCAATCGTGATGTGCAAACTGGGTGAGTCGAAAAATGGTTATAGATAGCTGAATTCTATTGGTTTCCAGATCAGTCATTGGGGATTTGTTTGACATTCGAGCATTTAACAGTCCTATTCAACAAGACGTTGCTACGCTTCTCGGTTCTAATATGCCCGAATACTTCAATAGCTTCAAACCATTTCTAACGTTGGTTCACATTTTGACACCAGAAGTTGCATACAGGTTTTCAGAGAAACACCTAACATTTCAAGTATTCGATGTCTTAGTGATGGGCTAATTGCAGTCTCTATGAGCTACTGTAAGTGCAGATTGCTCGTAACACATAATATACAAGGCATTTATCTTTCTTGCAGCACGTCTTGCCCGGATTCAAATGGGAGTCATCGTTTCCCTGGTTGACTCTACGGTCGAGGTTTATGCTGATGTAATTCTAATGCAGATTTTTATGTCAGACTAATTTTCATTTTTCCAGTATCACAAGTTTCTGAAACTACTGTTTACTCATCATCTTCCTGATTTATTGCCACGCCATTGGACACACAACAATCCATATCCAGTAACCGAGCAGTCTTGGTTCAAAAATGAGATCATCGATGTTTCTAATCCTAAAGGTAACGGATTAGTCCAAATTTTATTTTCATTAAGAACCTTTCAGAGATGACCAACTTCAGACCGCTCAACGATATTTATCAATTCTTCGATAAAATTTGGCACAATGTGGTACGTCTTCTTCAATTTTTATTCTCAGCCACACTGATGTCTAAAATTTCAGAGAAGTGTTTCCAATCCGCTACAGTGTTCCCTGTTCAATAAAACGCACGCGTATCAACTACTTTTCAATTAGTAAGAAAATGCATCTGGTTTATATACAGAACGGAGCATTTTCAGCTTATTCAACGATGGCAGAAACATAACATTCCGGGAATATGATGACAACCTGTGTAGAGCTATACGAATGGAACAATATTATCATCCATCAGACCCTTTCAAGCTTATCAAAAATGTATATCAGTGGTATTTAGCATTTCAACCAAAGGATCCAGACAACGTCATTGTACATAGCAACCGTTTTAAAGCCTGAATTTGATCCCAATGATAATATCCTTCCTTCTCTTGGAGATCTCGTCCTTATCGATCTCAAAGATTGCCAAGCTTTAAAATTCTAATAAATGCAGTAATATTAAATGGATGCAACGGAACAGCTGTTAGAGAAAGAGAGGGCAGTAGAAGAAAGACAATTGATGTAAAGTGAAGTGTATGTGAGCACAGGAGTCATTGATCCAACTGCTTTACTACATTTTACTGCTGAAAATGAGGAATAGCGCACCACTCCGAGAGTTGCATGTTGCCTTAGTTGGAATGGCTGGTTCCGGGAAATCAGGTTAGTATGAGTGAAAATAATGTCTTATTTTTCGAAGTCTTTGCAGCAGTTGCAGTGAAATACATAACAAAACGTTTCATCGGAGAATATGATTCAACTCTAGAGGACAATTACTGTAGACAAGAAACTGTTGGGGGCCAATGTCTAATGGTTTGGATGATGGATACTGTGGAAAGTGCCACGAAAGATGAAATGAGATGGATCGCATGGGCAGATGTGTATGTGGTGATTTATGATGTCACAAGTCAACTCAGTTTTCAGTGAGTAGATAGTTGATGTCTAGGAGACACTATACGTAAAATTTTCAGATACGCAGAAGGTATTCTGGAAAGAATTTCACGTCATGAGCATGTTTTGTGTCCTCGGGAACATAGAACTTTGCTGGTAGGAAACAAGAGTGATTTGGAGAGGTACCGGCAAGTATCGGAGACAGAAGGCGAGCGCCTCGCATCTCAACACAAGACCTATTTTGCTGAATGTTCGGCTGCAAGCGATCTGCGTCAATTCACCCAAAGTCTCCATTCAATTTTTCAGGTTTTGACGAAAAAAAATATTCGATTGGTCTATGAACTTTGTTACAGAACATAATATCTGGTGCTCGTAGTCCATCGCCTCGACAGTGCTCGTCTGATTCGGAAATCATCACACCCAGTGAGAATCTGCTTAAATGAAAATGAAAAAGTTTTTGTAATTTTAGGAAAAGGTGCGTTCTCTTCACTTCGATCATCTTCTCGCTCTTCGCAAGTTCGCGCCAAGGCATCCACAACAAAAGCACCGGCTCCACTTCACAAAACACCATCACTCAGCAAATTGAAAACAGGCAGCAAACTGCTCAAGCTTTTTCATACCTGATATGAACTTCGAGCAATAAATGATTCCCATAACCACTATCTTCAAAAGACCATTCCTATTTTTCTTCTTGTTGTCCATACTTCTCAAGAAATGATATTTTTGAATTTTGAAAATTCAGTTTTCCGATTAATTCAAAACATTTTTTCTTCAGTTAATGAAAGTTCCAAAAAGAAAAAGCATCAGTAGTTTGGACGCTTTGCTAAAAGCAACTGCAACAGGAAGTGAGATGAAAATGGATTATTAAGAGTCCATGAATTTTTTTATATTTCATTTTCAGATGAACAGGCTAACACAATTGACAAAGCGTTGAATACGCCAACAGACAGAATCATGAAAGCCACGCTCGAATTCGAAAAAGTACATACAATCAAAGCTAGCGATTCGAGCGAAGTCGAAAAGTTTGTACATCAAAGTTTATTGAAAACAAAAAGTAGTTTTCCAGATACACCGTCTTGAAAGCAACAGTTGAAGATGAGATGGAAGCCGCGTTAAAACTGAAAAGGCTTGGAATCACTCCTCTTGTTCGGCGATGTCATGTGGAACCGATTCCACCAGCTTATTTTAAGTGCAGAAAGATCTTCAAAAAAACTCAGTGATATTTTTTTTCCATGTTCTGAAAACAAGGTTGTTAAGAATGAAATCTCATGAACTCGTTTGATACAGCACATATTTTTATTTAAATCAATCAGAAACAACAATATAAACTGAAATCTAGTTATGGTGTTGAGAAACCATGGAACTCGCAGCATTACTCGCTTGACTCATTGCACTGAATTCAATGTTGGAAGTAGTTACTTTATCCTCATAGTGAGTTGTATTTGCTTGATCATATTCCAACTTCATAGTATCTGATACTTCTTCTCCTCCGGGAACATCTCCAAGTTCAGCTTCCGACGATGGCTCTTCACTTTGCGTTCTTTTTACTGCTTGTTCTTCGCTATCTTCTGATCTATCGACCCTCTTTTTGTTCTTCCCAGACATTTTCGATTTTCTTGAAATATGCTTTGCAGTTTTTGAACTCTTCGGAGATTTTCTAATGACGTCATGTTTACTTGGTATATAGAATCCGACCATTCAGCAACTGTAATTTGACTGTTTTAAATAAAATAACAATCTCAAATACTCCCCTCATTGAACATCGTTGCTAGGAAAAAAGTACTCAATACTGTGCAGATAAACATGGAGAATACGATAACAAACATTTTGATGCTACCATCTGCTAATCTGAAACAAGGTTTTTGCATTTTTTCTTAGATTACTTTGTTTACGACTTATCAATGATTTGATGTTCTTCTTCCTTTACATAAAAATTTTCCAATCCAAACATTTCACCCATAAAATCTGATTCAAGCTTATGTAGAAGATCTTCCGAAGTAAGGATTTTAACGTGGAACCAAAGTTATTATCCACATACAATTGAAAAACTTATAATAGGTTATAAACTTAAATTTTTTATTCACGTAAATCTTCAAATCAAGCTATCGTACACATCCTAATAGAAAGACCCCTATCCGTCAACATTGAGCTCTTATCTAATTCCGTGTAAAATATATCAAAAAGTGGTTAACTGACAAAATGTTTATCATAAGATAAAAAATATTTTGTCAGTTAACCCTTTCTTGATATCTTTCACAGGAACAGAGATAAATTGGGTCAAAGTAAAAGTATGGCTTCAGATTCAAATTTTTGCAGAAATGCTTATTATAATTATGCATTTTTCAGTTTCCCAGAACCCTCTGACTGTTGTGGCGTGAACTGTCTGGATGACGTCAACCCTCAGATCTACGTGGCGATAAGAACTGCCTATATAAGCTTATTGAACTCTGTATTAAATGGGTCTCTCTATGTAAATAAACTCTTAGTTTAACCTCGTCTCATAGCCACCATAAGGACATAACAGTGGCGAGCAGGATGAGATGGATCAAAGCTGGATCCATCGAACAATGATGTCTGGTGTGAAGCGGAGCGAGGAAGAGGAAAGAGAAGTTCCCCGGTGTTCGTGGATTCGGCATCGAAAAAGCCGTCGTGGTGGATGGAGATCTTGGGATCACATTCAGAAAGCCGGGAGCGCCGTTGGAGGTGAAGATCGATTGACCAAAAATGAGTGAAGATCGAAGAACCGCGAGTGAAGATCAATAAGGATCGATGGACTTCTGACAAATGGTCGTGGATACTAGTGAAGTATACTGTTCCACATAAATTCCAAAATTCGGCAACGGATGGATGCTCTGTATGGACTGGTAAGCAGGCATAAGTACCTGCAGGAAACCCGGATTCATGGACGACGTGCTGGTTGCCCTTGAGATGAGATCATATCAAAATCGATGCAACAACGACTGAAATGTATCCAGTCAAAAGGAAAGCTGTGGAGTCTGAGCAGCAGCTGTCGTGGTACTTCGTGGAAGATCATTGGCAGTAGACAAAGGACTTCTTGTGAAGAAGGGGAGGTGTTGTGGCGTGAACTGTCTTTATGACGTCAACCCTCAGATCTACGTGGCGATAACAACTGCCTATATAAGCTTATTGAACTCTGTATTAAATGGTTCTCGCTATGTAAATAAACTCTTAGTTTAACCTCGTCTCATAGCCACCATAAGGACATAACCACCATAAGGACATAACAGTTGACTTTCATACTGCAATATTTTTGAAGAAATATTTAACTAAATGTTTCATTATGCAGAATTTTGGTCCGCCAACCAGCGGTCATCGGCTAGTCAGCGCCTCTTCGTCTGTCATGAAGCAGTCACTCAACAACCTATTTTTAGATGGTCCGATTAGAGGAAAATTAGCTTGTATCATTATTCTACAATCTAGTGGGAGTAGGAAAATTTGTCTCTGACTGAATTTCAATCTAAGGTTTTAATGTTTTCCGAGGTGTTCCGATGGTCCGTCGACAGTTCGCCAGCGGCCCGTCGGTCTCCCCTCGGCTGCCAACTAGCAGTTTTTAGACAATATATTTTTACCTGTAATACTATTAGAGAGTTTACGGTATTTGCTCATTTTCACGACTTGTCTAGATAGGAATTTCAAGTTAATATAATAGAAACAATTTTTGCATCAAAAAATTTGTTCAAAATTTCGGTTTTTTTGTTTCCCTTTTCTTAACTTTATCATTTTCAGCATTTCAATTCTTTAAAAATCTGATAAGGAACAATATTGGCTGTGATCCAAATTTCATTAGGTTGTCGAACTGGCTGTGTTCTCCATGAAAATATACACCTCCTTCATATCCGGTTTATCACTGTCGTTTCACTCAAAAAGAGACCAAGAAAAACTTCGAACGGACCGCTTCGCTTCTACTTTTTCTGCAGTTTTCTATTCCTATAAATTTGCCGATTACATCATGAAACACCCAGTTTCTCTCTCACAACGAAATGTGGAAATTTCTGATTGGAAGTGTCTCTTCGGCGGCATTCTTGGCCACCATTTGCACTGTCTACTATTCTGTTTCGATGCTCGATGAGCTCGATTCTTTCCGTGGACGCATTCGCGATGAACTTGATGACTGGAAAGAGGTCAGTGATGACACGTGGCAAAGACTGAACGATATGACATCGAGAAGTGTACCAAAGAAAACGAACATCCTGAAGAACTTTGTGAGAGGAAAGAGAAGTGATGGAAATGATCAATGCAGTAAGTTACATGAGAACTATCTTTCTTTGAAGGTTTCTTTTCTCCAGACTGCGCAGAGCCAACTAAGAATTGTCCAGCTGGACCACCAGGAGAGAAGGGGACTTCTGGAAACCCTGGACAACCAGGTCCAGATGGAGTTAATGGAGATGATGGAGTAGATGGAGAAGTTGTTCAACACGAGATGCCCGACACCAAGGAATGTATCAAATGCCCAGCTGGACCACCGGGACCACCAGGACCACCAGGACCCCTTGGACCGAGAGGAGAGAAAGGATCAGAAGGACCACGTGGATCTTTGGGAGATCAAGGAGAGACTGGGCCAGTTGGAGAGGCTGGAGACCAAGGACCTTCTGGATTACCAGGAAGACAAGGAGCCAAGGGACCAGCAGGACAACCAGGAACTGTTGCTACAGTTGGATTGGCTGGAAGACCAGGACCACAAGGACCACTTGGAGAAGCCGGAAGTCAAGGAGAACCAGGAGTCGATGGAAAAGATGGAGCTATTGGAGCACCAGGAAGAAAGGGAGAAAATGGAAGAGCTGGAAAGAGAGGAAAGGATGGAGTTGCTGGAGTTCCAGGAACAAGAGGAAAATTGGGAGAGGATGCAGGATACTGTACTTGTCCACCAAGAACTGCTTAATTTATTTGTCGAAATTTTCAATAAAAGATTTATTCATTAGCATACAAGAAATGAGCATTTTTAAACAGGTAGTAACAGTTTCTGAGCGACACCTTGCATTCCTTTGCTCTCCTCTGTTGCAGAAATCTGAAATAAAGATATTTCATATATTTCGATTTCAAAGAAGATCTTACCTGTCCTTCTAACCGATCAGAGAAGTAATTCTTAACTGCGTAGAACACAGAAAGTCTCCAGAATAGAAAAGCTCCAATCAAGAAAACGACCAATTTCACGATGACCACAACCAACGCCTTCTCGAAAAACTCTTCATGATGACCTTGAGAATAAAAGTTTAAGAATGATTGTGTGTCGAAGAAAGCGATGACCAATTGTAACAGTGTTAGAATTCCCCAGAAGAAGAATTGAATCAACTGAAACGAAATGTTTTTTTTTGATTTCTAACAACGGAACCTCAACACATTGTAAATTCAGATTTCGATAAAAATTTTAGGATGGGTTAAGAATAGCTTATCTAGACACTTCTGGAAATTTCAGAATCCGCTGGCCAGTTTCAGTCGAGTTACCGTATAACCTGCAATAGTCTCTCTAACTTGTAGCTTCGAGCCAATTTATCTCGATTCCTGTTGAAGATATGAAAAAGTTGTCAACTGATAAATTGTTTATCATAACAATACAAACATTTCATTAGTTAACACTTTTTGGTAATCTCTTACAGGTGCCAAGATAAGTGAGCTCAAACATGGCAGTGTGCGGGCACATCTATTACAGATTTTATGGTATATCAGCTTCAGTTCCACAAATTGCGTTCCAGTGCAAAAAATGAAATTTTCAAAGACGACTTTCTCAACTTCTTGGACGTTTCAGAACATGAAATTTGATCTGTTATACATAGCATTCAAGGATATTTCATATTTCAGACATTTTGACAAATTTTGTATTATTATATTTTCGGATAAAGCCAAGTTAGGCCCCTACTTTGGGGTGCAAGGAGTTGTAGGAGTACAAAATCCATAATTCGGGGGTACTAAATTCTAATTTTTCAAATACCAATTTGTGCCCCAAATTCTAGGATGATGTGTCCCTGACTTGCTTTGTACCCTGATGACCCCAACATTTTTGTACTCTCCGAAATATTTGCCATTCGAGTATTGGAAACAATTCTGAAACCTTTTAGAAGTAGAGAGCGTCGTCTTTGAAAGTCGCAGTTTTTGCAATAAAAACGTGCTATACTGAAAACTGGTGAGCGGATTCTATAACTTTTAGAAGTTTCCATGAGAATTTGGGTTAATTTTCATAAAATTCTGGGTTTTACAAGGTGTTGAGATCCGTGAAATGCTTTCTTACAGTGAACAAAACCATTGGCCATATGAAACGATGTTTCTTTTTACGAATCGAGTAGATTGTGACTAGAATCAAAGCATAATGGAATCCAATCCACATCAGCCACCAAGGGAAAAGGAAGAGGACATAAATTGGAGTGACTATGAATATTTCGAGAAGCAAAAGTATTTTTGCTGCATTCTGAGAATTTAAAGTTTGAGCAAAAATTAATAAAAAATCAAATTTTTTGTTCTTACCAACACATGACACTTTCCAAAAAGACATCTGTATCTTGGATTGATCGCTTGAAAATCAACATAAAAATTGAAAAGTTTAGTGAAATATTCTTTGATCGGTACATCATCAAATAGAAGAACCATCGTGAAAATGACTCCAACGATGTTTCCCCAATGACCTTCTTTCTTTTTCTCTTTTGAAGAGAATTGAATTCAGATGGTTTTCAGTGAGGCAGTGTACGAATCAAAGAGATACCAGAGAAAAAGAGATAGAGAGACTATCAAATCAAGGGTTATTACAAATACCTCGAGTAAAACGTGATGATGGGCGTGGTAAACACTTCTGTTTTTTTGCGATTCAATTTGAAAAAGAGAAGGAAAGGAAACCATTGATATGGAAGCAATCTTAGAGGAGAATAGACATATACCGTAAAACCTCTAATAGAACGACACCCGGAACGTCCACTTTGAGCCTACATATCTCACTTCTTTTGAAAGGTATCAAAAAGTGGTTAACTAGTAAAATGTTTATCAGGATATCAGCAAAATTTTACCAGTTAACCACTTTTTGATATCTTTTGCAGAAAATGAGATATATAGGCTCAAAGTGGACGATCCGGGTGTCGTTCAATTAGAGGTTTTACGGTATATATATTTTTTTTTTACAACTCAAAAGAAATCCTATTTACAATGACTCAAAATTTATGATTTATGGGTTTCCAGTTCTTCTACAGGCTTTAATCCCTTTCAAGATGTTGAGTAAATTTGTCGTCTTTTTCATACATCTCGGTTTTTTGTATATCCAAAATATGTCCATCTTAATATTACATTTCCGTTTCATAGAGAAGAAAAGGTTTTTACGGTATATGTGTAATGGAATGAAATTTATGACGGTTTTTTATTTTCTTGATTTCGCTTCATTCTTGTCCGTTAAGCTTGCTCCAGCAGCAGACTACTGAAGAGGCTATTTCAAGAGGCTATATTCTAAGGGGAGGGCTGGAAATAAAAAATTAGGTGACCCAGTGACCTACTTTCTAGATAACCCATTTATGCCACGTGGCGCGCCGCCTGTCTTTCCCACGTGTATTTTCGACTCTTGATCTCTATTTAGCTGCTAGGCACTTTTATCTTTATCCCTGTCTACTCTTTTTCTCAGGAATTTTCGAATTTTTAAAAAGATGGCTACTGAAAAGAGCCAAGATTTCAATATAACTAGTGTTGGATATTATAAGCGAGACAATGAAACGTGAGTTTTTGTTTTTTGTTGTAAAGAAAAAAAATGATTTCAGGAATGTTACTGTTGATGTTCAACCCAAATTCGCCAATTCAAATTACGATCGTCTTATGGAGTTTCAAGAGCCCGGAGACTATATACAAGAAATTGACATGAATCTAGGGAGCCCAGAAGTTCCACACGATGGAAAATTGAGAATTTTTTTGAATCTCTACTCAATTATATTTCGATCAAAGGGTTTGGAGAAGAGAAGCCTCTATTCGTGACATACAAGCAGGTACTTGCTGATGTCGCAGCGAGATTTGTAAATCCAACTGTTTACATTGTCAGTCATATGGGAATGATTTTCATGTCATACAAGAAATTGGAGAAGGCGGATCCGGAAATCGATGAAGAAGATCAAAAGAAAAAGGATATAGCCAGAAAGAAGGCAATGGAATATACGGCCGGTGCAAACTTTGCTCATTATTGGACAAAGAAATCGGAAAACGAAGAGATTCCGGAGGACTATGCAACGTCGAATTGTAAAGCAGTCATGAAGTGCGACGTCGAAGTTGGTGGCAAAAAAGAACTCGTTGTTTATTCGGCTCATATCGATGCTCTTGAAAAAGGTAAGCCATTTTTGTTTTTTTTCGGGAAAAATGGTATCAAAGTGGAACCGGCTTTGGTGGCAATGATGTTCGGAATGGAATCCGGAACTCCGGAAATTCCAAAAAAGTTTTTCAGAATCAATTCCGACCGAAAACTTTCCGAAGCTTTTTTTCTCAGAATTAGTGATTATGGTATGTCTACGGTATGTCGCAAAAAAATTGTTGCAGGCAGAATTAATTCAATTAAAAAAAATTATTTTTGTCAATTTTCACCTATTTTTGGCGTTTTTGCGATGACACATCGGAATTGATAATTTAAAATTTGAGTTTAAAAAATTCCGAAAATTCTGATAATCCGAAATGTTCGAAATCGGAACATTACGAAATTCGAACTTTTCAAAATGGAATATTCCTAGATTCTGAAATTCCGAAAGTTTAAAAATTGAAATTTTCGACATTCCAAAAAATTCCGAAAAGGCCATTCCGAACATCCCGGCAATTTGGTACCATTCTTCATTCGAAAAATCCGACATTCACCATGAAACCTGTATTAGAAGGGCCCCCTCTGATAGAAGGTCTCCCTGTAATAGAAGGACCCTCTGTGAAGAAGGAGCCTCTTCAAAATGTGTTTTGAAATTAAACAATTTCCGTTCGTTTTCAATGAAAAATGTTCCGGAAATTCCACATTTTAATAGAAAGTTGTTGAAATTCTATTATTTGATTAAAAGTTTGCTCAATGTTGGGGAAATTTGAAGATTTTCATGAATTTTGGTCAAAAATTCGTCTAATTCTCGATGAGAAGTTTCGGGAAAAATAGGAGGGCCCCCATCTAACTGAAGCGCCCTCCAGTAATGGTAGCGCCCTCCGGAGGTACCGTGGAACAATAAAAGGGCCGGCCCTTCTAATACAGCCCTTACGGTATGTATCATACAATAGCTTTGTTTTCTTTTTTCTCATAGTCGACCATAATTTTTCCAGAATCGGGAAAACATGTCTCAACAAGAACAACCAGAAGAACTAACTTCTGGACATATCTACACTGGAAAATGTTTTTCGGAAATGACTCAACGATGGTACTTGGTGCCGGATCAGTGTCTCTTGAATTATCGAATTGGGCTTTACGTTCAGTAAGATTTTCTTTAATTTTTTGAAATCGAACTTTTTCAATCCAGATCGAAGCTTTGAAATTCGAAGACGTTTTCGCGAAAATGGAGAAAATCAGGCGAGAGAAAAATGAGGAGAGAGCCCAATGCGAAGAATTCAAAAAAGCCCCATTCCAAAAATGGACGATGGATCAAGGGAAGGAACGGTTTCGGCAATTTTTAAGCCAAGTGAAGAATGCCTGCACTCATTCGGACGGTTGTTTCCTGGCCACAGAAGCAAACAAAATGTGGCATTTTGAAAAAGTCGACGAAGAACATGATGAGATTCGGGAGTTTGCGAGTTTGGTCAAGACAAAAATGGCTGTTTGGAAAATCAATTTCCCCAATGAATGCTCATAAACTATTCTCTGATTTGCTTAACAAGATCTTCGTTTTAAATGTTTTAACTGATATTCTCTTGATGTTTTATGTGCCTTTTGTTTCTGATTAAATAAATTTGGAAAAGAAAACACAACAGTTCAAATAGCAAACTTTCTAAAAGTTTTGTTCATACCAGCATGTTTGTCGCGCCTCTTCAAACAGCTGGCTGGTGCCACCGGCGCGAATCAACCAATTTTTTGAACGAAGAACCCACAACGGCAACTACCGTAACCCAACATTTTTCCGGTTTTTTTTGCAAAATTTTTAGACCGTTTTTAGGGTTTTCAGCTATTTTCAAAGAGTCTGTTTAGATTCTTCTGTTTTTTTTGTCTGAAATTCGGTGGTACCCTTGAGAACATGGGGGAATGTAATCCAAAAGAGTTAAGATCTTGGTTGTTAACCCAGAAGACGTATTTATTAATCAATGATACTCATAATGCAGCTATCAGCACAGCTGCTGAGGTATTTAATAAATTTCAAAATAGGTTAGACACCGTCATTTCCAAATTCAGAGATCCGAACGTTACACGAGAACCTCGGAGGTCAATCGATCTCTGATGACCATACCAGAACTACTGTATCCAGGTATTTGTTCGCCCCAATCTGTAGTTTTTGAACCCTCGAATCATTTTTACTCTTGAATTTTTTTTTTAATAGTGCGAGAAAAGATAAGCAGGAAGCTTTGAAAAAGAACCGAAAACTACAACTAGAAAATTTATTCAACACACGAAGATCAATTATTTTTGCTCTTATTTCTCAATTGTATTGGTGACTGTATTGGTCTTTTTCCCAGCTTTGACTCTGAAAATAAAAAAAAGTGTGTCATTATTGAAATACAGTCCTACTTTGCCCCTGTTGCCTTTTTGTGGTTTGCCTTGTTTTTCGATTTTCTTGATGAGTTAGAAGCGTTACGAGGAGTAGATCCTCCAGTCACTGGAGCCATCATCGATCGATTGACCTTTTCAGATCTCTGAATTCGAAAATGACGGTGTCTAATTTATTTTAAAATATATCAATTACCTCAGCAGCCGTGCTGATGACTGCATTTACTGCTGCTGCATTATGAATATCATTGATTAGTGGTTCAATGAATCTGACGACATCATCCATCACAACTCGTCTTTTCGGATCGACGACGAAGATTTTTTCGTGAACAAACGATCGAAATTTATCTGGACAAGCATCGGGCATAGTCAAATGTCTTCCGTAAACTACATTCTTCTTGGTATCAGTATTACTAACACCCTCCCATGGTTCTTCTCCTTCTGAAAATATCTCATAGCACATGACTCCATAACTGTAGACATCAGTTTTTGGAGTGAAATAAAGAGTAGTGATCGTCTCAGGAGCAAGCCATTTGATGGGAAGTTTCTGAGCAGCACACAACTTGAATTGATTGCTAATCACGGAAAGTCCGAAATCGGAGAGTTTGACCACTTTGTCAATCGAGTAGAGACAGTTTCTAGCGGCAATGTCTCGATGGATGCAGTGATGAGCATGAAGATATTGAAGTCCTTGAGCCGCCCCAAGACACATTCCAAACAGTTCAATGATGCCGCTGTTTTTATTCTTCTAAAATAATATAAAATGTTGTGTTTGGATTACTGTAACTATTACCTGAAGGTAAGTGTTGAGAGCTCCTCCATTGACCAATTCCAAAAGAATGTACAATGGTTGCTCAACTACAGCAACTCCGTAGAATCGAACAACATTTTTGTGCTTGAAGTTTCTCATTAATCTAGCCTCATTCATCATTTCTCTTATCTTCAGCTTGTTCAACTCTCCTCCTTTCATCAATTTCACTGCAGCATCCAATTTTCTTCCTTTTCTTTGCAAAACTCCTTTTCTAACTGCTCCATACGCCCCTCCTCCCAATTTATCACCCAACTTCACTGCCGTATGTCTATACTCCCATCCTTGCAGTTCGATCGGCGTTTTCAGAAAACGATTCTCTTTAGTTTCTGATGTGTTGGAGACGTGATGGTTTGCAAGAAGAGCCTCAATAGTTGGAAACGAATGACTTCCTTTTATTGCATACATTCCATCGTAACGACGAATGACTAGGTTTCGCATCTTTCGTTCTCCTGGATTCTCAGACTTGGCATCCTTTGTGTCTGCTTCAGTGCCAACTCGATCGGAAGAACACACAGACAACACAATATCTCTTTTAATTCCAAGGTTTCCATCCTTTCTCTAAAGTCAAAATATGAGACTTTTCAAATTTAACATTCATGAGTACCGTTGTGATCTCGCTAACACGAATCAAGTAATCTCCCTCGTTCCGGATGATGACTCTGAGATCATCACGAGGAAGGAATCCATGATAGAATGGCATCGCCTGAAGACTCTTATACAATTCTTCATCTTCAACAACATCTTTCTCGATGTAAGTGGACTTATTGATCACTGATTCATCCTTCCTCTCGCTTCCTTTTTCTTCTTTTCTATCGCTTCCTTTCTCATCGCTCACTGCCGTCATCTCCTGTTTCTTTTCCGGAATGTCCTGTATGCTCATGTACTTTGTATGAATTCTTTCTCAACCTTCAACTCACTTCTGTAGTGGCTTCTCCACTAGATCGTTTGATGATACTAGCATCACTGTTAGAATCGCTCATTGTAACTCAACGAGAACTGATTTGAGAACTAATGTTGGTTTTACATTTGATTCTGGTGTTTTTCCAACGCTCCTATCAACCGGACAGTTCACCTACAAAAAATAGTGGCACTTTATTTTGGGGGCACAAATTCTTAGGGGGTATAACCTAGCTTAATTAGAGGGCACAAAGTATTTTCTCACGTACGAAAGAGAAAAAATGCTTCAGGGACACTTTATTGGCTCTGATCCAGTTAAGATGTGCCAAAAAAGTTAGAGATCTGAAAAGAACACTAAAATGATTGTGTAAAAATGTTTCAGAGTATAATTGTGCGTATATTTTAAAAAGATCAATAGATATATTCTCCCAAATTTTATTTGTCAGAATTCGTGTTTTTTTAAAATTTCATACAAAAAGATGGTAACCGTAAACACTCTAATAGAACGCCACCCGGACCGTCCACTTTGTGCCTATATATCTCACTATTTTTGGAAGATATCAAAAAGTTGTCAACTAATAAAACATTTATCCTAATATCAGCAACATTTTATTAATTAATCACTATTTGATATCTCTCACAGAAAATGAGATACATAGGCTCAAATTTAACGATCCGGATGGCGTTCTATTAGAGTGTTTACGGTAATTTATATGCAAAGATAGATTAAATTCGTAATTGAGTATTCTAAAGTTCGTAATTTGTTTCATTAGAAACAAGTTTTCTGAAAAGTTGTTAATGGTTTTTGAAATCAACTGATTTCTTTTTAAAACAGAAAAAGTACATGTGGTACACTAATTTAAAAAAATTAGGCTCCGCCCTTTTTTTAACTTTTGAAAATTACAAATTCTCAAAATTTCTTTTCTGAAAATCAAACTTTTCTAAACACTTGAAATTTTTAAAGTGTTATGTACCAGACTCGAAAAATACTGAAATTTTTTTTTAACATTTGAAAATTTCCAATTATCAAATTGTTATTTTCTGAAAATCGAACTTTTCTAAACACTTGGAATTTTTAAAATGTTAAATCACAGCCCCGAAAAATACTGAAAGTTAGGCTCCGTCCATTTTTTCACATTTAGAAAACTCTCAATTTTTCAAAAAAAAAATGTCTGAAAAATTCAACTTTTTGTTGCCCCAAAACTAAAAAAATGGTATAAAGAAAGCTCTCCGACCTCTGAAAATGGAAAGAAAATGTGACTTTGAAAGCCGAGATCAATTCTGGAAACGAGTTATTATCATAATATTTATTGCATCTCAACATATTTTTAAAAAATTATGCTGAGCATTCCATCATTCCGAGAATGTAATCCAAATGAGTATTCATCGAATCGACACTTTCTTGGCCACATTTATCCGATACTAGTTTTGTGGTGCATTTGAGCTCATCTTGATACATTTGACAGTTTCCAGGCCGCCCTTTCTACAAAAATGTTTTTTTAATGTAATAAAAATCAGGGGAATAAATAGTCAACCTCTGTTTGTAAAAACCGACCGCATGGATACTTTTTGAGGGATGGTGGAACGGTGCGGAGCTGGAAATTGAGAATTATCGTTTTCTTTTTGATGAAAAAACATTTTTACTCACATTTCCTATACATTTTCCAAATGGGCCGGAGATTAAATTGATACCGGTACATGTCTTTGCGATGAGTGCTGTAGCGTTTTTGAGCACATCACACTTGATTTCTTTCATGCATGACTGAAAAAAAGACAAATTCAATGAGCAGGTCTCAAAGGAAAGTGCATTCTGAAATTCGAAAAAATCCATTATTTAATTGTTTCAACAAACTATTCTTTGAATTTTTCTAGTTTCAAAAGTTCTATCAGAAGAAAATTTAAAAAAAAGCCGATGTTTGATGTCTGGTTCTGTCCACTCGTGAAGCACAATTGACTCTGTTCAAAAACTAGAAACTTTAAAAACTTACAAGCGCTTCTTCGCACATCACAGAGAATCCTTTGAGCTCATCTGGAGGTGGCATGTTCGCGTATTCAGCCATTTTACTTGCTAACTTTCCGAGGAATGGCTTACATTCGATCGATTTTACTGCATCCGAATGATCACAAGGAACAGAGCCATCAACAAGAATCACGAAGAAGAATAAGAAAAGAACCTGCATGATGAATGAAACGAGGAAGAAGAACTTGGTTTTTAGCAAACGGATGACCTTGGACGATGTACACCGGTAAACATTTTCGCCGACTTGATGGCGTCAGAGTGTCGGACTAATGATGTTCGGTTTTTGCAGATGGATTTTTAAAAAGAAAATGTAGGTTTTAAAATTTTTATAACAAAAAGTCGGAATAACAGTAACGATATTGAAAAAGAGAAAAACAAGAAGCAACAACGTAAAATGTGAAACAACAATTGAATATTTAACGACGACCTCGGGATCCCCCACGACTTGCTCCTCTGAATCCTTCTCCGCGGTCTCCGCGGTCTCCGCCACCGAATCCACCTCTTCCTCTGAATCCTCCACGGTCACCACCACCAAATCCTCCTCTTCCTCTGAAACCTCCACGGTCACCACCACCAAATCCTCCTCTTCCTCTGAATCCTCCACGGTCTCCGCCACCAAATCCACCTCTTCCTCTGAATCCTCCACGATCACCACCACCAAATCCGCCTCTTCCTCTGAATCCACCGCGGTCTCCGCCACCTCGTCCTCGGAAGCCTCCTCTATCAAAGCTTCTACCTCTGTCTCCACTTTGACTTCTTCCCCGATAACCACCGTCGTCTCTTCCTCGGTAATTGCTTCCTTCATCGTCTCTACCTCGGAATCCACCGCCTCTACCTCTTCCTCGACCATCTTCATATCGTCCTCTCTTTGGATTTTCAGTTCCCCATTCTTCGTTGGCGCGTTTGAGTTCTCTGAAAATTTTTTTAATTGGACAATTTCGATAAATCAGGATAATTACCGTTCTCTGTTCATGGCAATCTCTCTGTCCTTCTCTTTCTGGTTCTCGACTTCTTCAACTTGTCCAGTGGCAGCAGCTTGCCTACGTGCAGCATTTTCTCGGATTGCTTTTTCTTCGGCCTCTTCAACATCTTGTTGTTCTTTGGCAATAGTCAATCTTCGAATGACTCGTTGCTCGCTTTCTTGCTCACGTCGCTTCTTCATTTGTCTGAAAGTACGGCATTCATAAATGCTACTTAAATCTCATCACTCACTTTTTCTTATCCATATGAGCCCGCAGTTTGATCAACTCGTCTGGAGTTTTTGAGTGATGCTTATGGTAAAGGACTTCTCCCTCATCAATTCCTTCCTCAATTTTTGTAAGTTCCAGTGTCAATCGAGGTCCGATTTCATGTAGACGAACATTACTTTTTTGTCCGATTCCACATCCTCGTCCTTCCGAAATATCTTGTGGAAGTTCAACTTCTTGCTGATCCCCTTCGAATTCTGAATCACTCAACTGTCCTGGGCTGAAAAAAAATGAATGGTTTCAAAGATTATCATGATAATTTTTTACTTGAGGAAATAGTCGCTGATGTCTTTATAGGAGCTCAGATTTGGAATATTTTTGCCCATCGTCTTTTCGGCTTGCATAAGTTTCTTCACTGACTTGTTGAGTCCAGATGCTACCACACGAATGGCGCTGAAAAAATGTATAAAAGATAAAGCAGAGAAGAACGATTTTGAGCATTTAGTCATACGAAGACTATTTTTCGAACGTACTAGTGTCTCATCTGAATTTCGTCGGTTTCTTCGTCGTAGCTCACAATCAGACAGCGCTTCAAATTGCCAAGTTGAATCGTATCAACATTGATAGATGGAAACATGTTTTGTATGAATGTCTGTACTAGGGAGAGATGTTTTTTCGATCCATCTCCAAAACCGTTCATTACAACTAGCGGTGAAGATTTGAACAATTTGTCAGTAGCCACTGGGCGTTTTTGGCAATTGACAACATGACGGGCCAGGGAGTACTGTTTCACTGTAAGAATTGCCTATTACATCGGAAAACTGCTTTTTTGAAACCTACCTTTGAAAGAGAGAGTTGGTCCTTGCGAAAAACGCATCATTCTCAACTGCAGAGAAGCATCACTCGATGTCAAAACCATCATATTGGTCACTCCAAGAACTGCACCATTTACAATGAAATCTTTAATATTGTTTCGCTTGAGAATTTTCAGATTCTTGGCAGTGTTCGGTTCAACGAGATTTCTCAAGTCAGACTCCAAGCCTTTCACGTATTTTCCGACGTCTCCACGATGAATAACCAGACAATGTGGTTGTCTGGAATAATAAAAACAATGAGATATTTCGCAAGCAGACTAAAACAACTGAATTTTTTTGACTTGGATAGGCACAACTTTAATCCGAATATTTTTAACAACTACTTCGAAAGAGTCAATGTATGAGAAAAACTTCAAAACAGAAGAAAACTACTAAAAGCCCAGCGAATTTCAGGCAAAACTTAACATTTTAGAATGGTTTGTGCCGGTGAAACTTTTAACTGAAAAAAAAAATAAAAAGCATACCTCGCAAGTTCTTTCTCTTTGTTCTCGTGGAACTTTTGTTTTTGAATCTTCTTGACAAACTTTTCTTGGTGGTACAATGCATCTTTCTGACTCTGAATATGGTTAAAAGATTTTTCTAAAACTTTGATTCGATACGAAATACCTGAGCATCTACATTTCCGCGGTTTTGTGCTCCAGACTTTCTTTGCTTTTTACCTCTTTTGAGCTTCATTGTACTTTTCTGGAAAAAGTATATAGATTTCTTGAAGCTAGAAATCAATCTTTAAAAATCTATCAGGGAAAATATTTGTTTAATAAATAAAACAAAACTCTTCAGTTTGAAAAATAGGAGGAGGAGCAAAAAAAACGACCATTCCCTGCTTGTCTGCAACTCGGCGTAAAAGTGTTTACGTCCGGTGTCTATTAACTCACGACGCAGTTCTTGCGCTAAATTCAAAAATAGTTATTTAAAAAGTTTTTGTATCCTTCGATGTTTTTAGTATCATCAAGAGACCACCGATTCCGCAGAAGAAAAACTCTGAAGAAGCGAACTCGGCGTTCGTTTCTCCAGATCTCCTTCCAAGAAAATCATTCTATTTCGCTATTAACGATCGCTAATGAGTCTTCACATTTTTATAATTTCCAGAATGAATAGGTTTATCACAAAAACCAAAACTCCAAGTAACAAAAAGGAAACTCCACAAAAGAGGCTACAAACAGGAACATCCCGAAATGAATCCACGAACAAAAAAAATGACTCCGAATGTAACGTTCAGGCAACCCCGGATGTTCAAACTAAAGAAGAATCTCTCATGTCGAAATTAGTTTGTTTTTGAACAAAAACTGAGAGACCATAATATTTTCAGCAATTCGCCATTCGCAATAACGATGCTCAATTCACATTTGACACTCTTTCTACGAATCGGCCATTTGACAATGCAATGAATGTATGGCTTACATAATATGACTAATTTGTTTCACTGTGAACCTATTCTTTTTTTTTCAGAAAATTATGACAAAAGTCGAATTTTCCTCGTCATTCTCGGATCCGACTTCGGAGTTTATGCTTCTTTCTGTGGATGAATCGGTAGTAGACGCCTTCAAAGAAAGTCAAAGGTTAACAATTCGCGGTGAATCTACAGACGAGGCAGTTCTTTGCACGGATAACGCAACTTTCCCGATAAAAGTCATAGAATCTGCTACAACTGTTCTTCTTCTTCACAACTGTTTGGATGCTCCAGATTCACCTACCATTCCAAATTTTGAATTCGAATCGGTGTGTTTCATAATTTTTGTCAATAAAAGTGCCAATTTTTGTAGGTTGATGGGAAATGCTACTCCACAGGTGAACTTTGTTCAGCAGTCGATGTTCTTAATGTAGGTCGTCTCAAAGAAATGCTTCGTGAGCAAGAATTGCGCTGGGATTGGAAAGATAAAGAAGAAGAAGAAGAGTTGCTAAAAGGCTACCGGATGAATGATATGCTGGATAGCGTGCAAATGAGTGTTGGAGAACTGAAAACTGCTTTGGTCGATTTGCCGATTGTCAAATTTCCGAACGGAAGATATCGTTACTTATCTCACAAGTTTCGTGGGGAAATGTTGGGATTAATTGCTCAGTTACTCGATGAAGATTCTATTGAAGATGTGAGATTCGAATCGGTAAGAATACCTGAAATGACGAATTGCTCGCTACAAGATTCAACATAAACGGCGCTTGATAATTTCAGATTTCTTTCTCTGGACTTCGCGCTCATCTTCCTGAAAATGTTCCTGATACTGTGATCCAATGGTTTCTTCAAACGAGATGTGAAAAGATTGCGGATGGAAGCGATGATAGATATCAATTACCTGAAACTAATTTAATTCGAGACTTCGCCGTTGTTCTTTTGCATGAAGTCGGATCAATGCCACTTCGTCGTTTCAGTGAACTTCTCAATAAGATCCTTCCAATTGGAACCAATGTGGATAATGCCGTTTTCGAAGGAATCGCTGACATTTCGGATGCCTCATTCGGCAAAATTATCACTTATCTAGGGCCAGAAGACCTTCCTGACACTGTAAAGGAAAGGATGTTGCATCTGTTCGAGTACAGAAGGCTTTGGACAATGGAACAACTTCGCCCATATTTCAAGGACGTCTACAAATCGAAAATGGCCTTCGACAAGTATGTCGTTCTAAATTGCGAATATTCTCTGTCTGAAACTAATGAATTACTATATTGTGGTGTGAGATGATTGTCTTGTTGCTATTTTTGAATAAACAGTTCTACCTGATACAAAGTTCATTGGACTATTTTTCAGGACATTATTCTCAAAGAGCTAAAAGCGAAAATTCGAGATGGGAAAGGAAAGGATAAGAATCCCATAGTGACAGAGATAGTGCGTGATGAGGGTAGGGGTACGGGAAGGTGGTGACAATAAAATTGTGCATGAGACAAGAATGCAGTTGGAAATTGGAAAAACATAAAATAGGTGATAGAAACGGACTGTTCAGGCCTAAAAAATGTTTGGGGATTTGCTATTGACGAGACACATGTTATAGTGCAACTTGAGTATTATGAAATGGTTGTTTCTATGATCATCGTGCATACTGTTTTTAAAGAAAGGAATAATAACGGGCCACTATAAAAAACATCAGTTGAAACAAAAATGATAGAGATTGAAAGATAGTAGAGATCAACATTACAGAGAAGCAACCACACACTTCACACTTAACTTGCGAACGTCTGATAAACTGACATTAATTTTAGGAACAATTATGAGAATATAATCAGACACCCGAAACCGTATGTAGGAATGAGATGAGAAAGCGTCGAAGCCGATGGTTGGTTCAATAGCGGGTCAAGTACAAATACACACAAAATCAAGAATCAACAACGGGCAGCACTATGAAGACGGGTTTCAACAACAACCGATATAGAGTAAAAGCCGATCAGAGTCCGAGCTCGTTAACGCATCGGATGCCTTCCAGCGGCGGTGAAAAGCGACAACTACAAAACTACGATAAAACTGTAATGCTTCTTCCGACCTATAGTCAAGAAGCTCGGTAGAAGCACAACATTGGTACAAATTGTCAGGCAACAACAAGTTGGATAGAAGGAGGATATGAAGATTACTATTAAACTAAAACCCTAAGGCACGCATGAAATCCATTATGATTGTCACTTAAAGCTCCGAGAAAAAAAAACATAATTAAAACACAGATACAAAGGGGAATAAAGGGTAGGAAGCATGTATCGCTCATCACGAAACTTTTAAGAGTGAATGAAAACAAATTCAGAAGGAACAAAAAAGACTACTGAATAAAAAAAGGGTATGATGCGAAGCCATGCACTGTTTATGAAGATTAAAAAAACGAAGAGAAGAGAATTCCGGATTTCCGTTTGATGTAATATTTAGCAAAGTCAGTTTAAGCACGAGGAGCTTGCCAGTGATCAATTGGAGCTTGTTGAGAACCGTTCGAATAAAAGTTTCCTCCATTTTGCCGATTCATTCCGTTGTTGAAACCACCTGAAAATTACATTTGATAACGCCGCACTAATACTTTTGACACACCTCTTCTTGGTCCTCCGAACCCACCGTTGGAAGTTGACGAAAGCGAGCTATGGGCTCCGAAACCCCCGTTGGTGAATGGGCGACGTTGCTGCCCGCCGAACGAACCTCCAAAGCCACTGCCTCCTCCAAAGCCAGCGGAAGCAGCTCCAGAATTGTATGAATTGAAATTTCTGTAAAACGAAATTTATTTTTGAAACCTCGGACTTTATTTTACCCTCCGAACGATCCGCCTCCGTTTCCACGACGATAGTCTGTAGCTCCGAAACGACGATTTCCACCGCGCTGTCCACCGCCAATGCGTCCTTCCGCCGCAACTTGATGAAGCCACTCAGGGACTTCTTGATTCGCTTCCATGATCAATGTCTTCAGGTCGCGACCGATTCCTCTGTTCTTGTCATTGAAAAAGCTAGTAGCGATTCCCAAGTTTCCACATCTTCCAGTTCTTCCAATACGATGGACGTATTCGTCAGAATCTCCAGGAAGGTCGTAGTTGACAACGTGGCGAACATTTGGGATATCCAATCCACGAGCAGCAACAGCAGTAGCTACCAGAATCGGGAACTGTCCAGAGCGGAACATTTCCAGATTTCTTTCGCGTTCGATCTGCTTCAGATCTCCGTGAATAGAAACTGAACGAATTTGCTGGCGATTCAAGAAATATGCTAACTCGTTGGCTCCTCTTTTCGTTTCCACAAAGACGAGAACCAAGTTCGTTGCGTCTTCGTTCATAAGGATGTCCATGAGATTTTGCCGTTTCTCCATCTCGTTGACCCACAATAGACGCTGTTCGATGTTCTCAGATGTTGATCCAACGCGACCAACTGCCAGGAACACGTAGTTTTCTTTGAGGAAATCTTTGGCAAGAAGTTGGATCTCCTTCGGGAACGTAGCACTAAACATGGCAGTAGTACGAGCAGTCTTCGGTGGCATTCCTTGACCAACAATCTTTCGGATTTGCGGCTCGAATCCCATATCAAGCATGCGGTCAGCTTCGTCCAAAACAAGGTAACGACATCCAGAAAGACCAATGAATCCTTGTTCGATTATATCAATTAGGCGTCCTGGTGTAGCGATTAAAATATGTACTCCGCTGCGGAGGCGGTTGACCTGATCGCGATAATTCTCGCGTCCACCGTAAAGAATAGCTGTCTGCAAATTGGTTTTGTAACTGAACTTGGCGGCTTCTTTGTGAATTTGAATAGCCAATTCGCGAGTTGGTGACAAAACTAAAGCCGAAGGATAGTAAGTGCGGCGACCGTTGTTGAATGTAGGCTGTAAAATCACTTTGAAACCAAAAATATTTGTTGCAGAACTTACTGTCTTGATCATGTCAGGTCCTCCAGCCATAATATGCTGAATAATTGGAAGGAGGAAAGCAGCCGTTTTTCCGGAACCAGTTTGAGCACATGACATCAGGTCACGGTTGAAGAGCAAAGTCGGAATAGAATGCTTTTGAACTGGAGTCGGTTTCGTGTAGCCACTACGAGTAACGTTTTCCATAACAGCAGGTCCGAAACCAGCATCGGAGAAATTTTCGATAGCTGCCGGGACAGAATCGCCACTGACTTCTACCGGAATATTTTCGTACTTATCGAAGTTGATGCCACTATTGGTACGATGAAACAAGTTGCTGAAAGAATATATTTTTTTTTTCTATAAGTCGCATTAGAAACTTACTTCTCGGTGTATTCGGCACCAGCTCCTCCCCATCCGTTTGTTTCCCCTCCACTGCAATATCTATCAATGAGAAAACGTAAAAAACTGTCAGCCTACTTATTATTATAGCCGTTTCCACTATCGGAGTAGTTATATCCATTGGACCTGAAAAAGGTACCATTGAAAATGTTGTTATCAAAGCGTGATAGGAGAAACAAAGGAAGAAAGAACAAGCATATGGTTAGGAGGCAACACAAGCACCAACACTACTATACACCTGCTCTCACCCATTTTCATCGAAGTTATCGAAGTTTTCAGAATAGCCCAATTGAAACTGCTGCGGCGCTGAGAAATAAGGAGGAATATATCCTGCTTGTTGTGAAGGCACCATTTGCCCCATCCCCGTTGGAACCATAGACTGTTGAATTGCATACCCGTTTGACGGACTTCCGTTCTGACCGAATCCGCCATTGTAGAAGCCGCCTGCAGCCACATTTCCTGGTTGTTGTTGAGAATACGACGACCAGCTGAAAAAAGATGTAGCGAATCTATCTAATCACTTCTATGTTACCTTTGACCTTGATGTTGTTGGCCGTTGTGACTCGCGTAATATTGTGTATTCATAGTTGATATTTGGATAAGACTATATCAAACGGAAACCCGGAATTCGAAGAAAATCGGCGAGTCTAAACCGATTTTGTACCCAGTTGATGTCGAGATAGCAATAAATGTATCTGCAAACAGAATACTTGTAGATAACTAAAATTTTGTAAACGGTCGAAGCTTAGTGTCATGATAAAGTTAATCGGAATAGTTTCATAAAAAATACGAATGGCAGTAACTCTCGTCATCAAACTTAGATGAAACCTTCTGTCGAAATAAAAAATATTCTAAAGTATCTGTGGTAATATCAATCTTCGTGTTTCGAAAAGTTATGGAATTGCTAGATGTTCGAGAGAAGATGATAAACCGAAAAATCGAAGAGAACGAACGAAGGAAAATCACAGATGATGAGAGAGCCGGTTTCACAGAACTGTGATGAAGAGACGTATGCTATCGTAGTGGGACCTAAGAAGCGCAAAACTCTACGCGCCTTTGAGGTGCGCAGTGTTGCGTGTTCGACGAGAATAATTTTCAGTCACGCAACACGACGCACTTTCTGTTAGTACCAGATGTAGGGCTCGGGCAATATCTAGAAAATGTGACCATTAAACAACTGTCTTGGAAAAATTGTGAGATGTTGAATACATGCGTTTAGCAGTCATAAAGAACCAAGTTTTGTAAATGTAATCATGAAAAACTTTGCAAAGAATACTGTAGTATTTGAATATTGTACTGTATTAAGTGAGCTAATTGGAGTCTCAAGTTTTTGACGCGCCAATCTACAAGTAGGTCACGCTTCCACGCAAACATCCACGCTGAGTTTGCTATAAAAGAAGACTCAACGACCGCAGGTGTCAGTTAAACGTCTTCAACTCCTCCTAGAAGTTGAATCGTCAATTCTCTGTCATCTCAAAATGACTGCGTCGCCGGAAGTTCAAAAAGCCATTGAAGATGTAATTTTAAAAAAAAATCTAAACAATAGGCGTAAATTGTTTCAGGTCTTCACTAAACTCCAGGGAGCTTCTGATTGCACCTCTTTGCTCAAGAAGCATTTGACAAAGGATGTTGTTGCTAAAAACAAGTCGAAAAAGACCCGTCTCGGAGCTACGCTTCTGGACGTGATCCAGTCGGGTGGCGAAAATCTTGACTCTGGTGTAGGCATCTATGCCCCAGATGCTGAAAGCTACACTTTGTTTTCCGATCTCTTCAATCCTGTCATCGAGGAATATCACAATGGCTTCAAAGCAACTGACACGCAACCTGGTATGGATCTCGGAGAGAAAAACGTATGTTTATCATCAAAGTCAGATTTAAATATATTTTTTCAGATCGGTGAGCTCGCTGATCTCGACCCAGAAGGAAAGTTCATTGTGTCGACTCGCATCCGTTGTGGACGTTCTCTTCAAGGGTACCCTTTCAATCCATGTTTGTCCGAGACCAACTACAAAATGATGGAAACTCGAATGAAGGAAATTTTCAACACCATTACCGACCCCGAGCTCAAGGGAACGTACTACCCTTTGACTGGAATGAATGATGAAACCAAGAACAAGTTGATCGCTGATCATTTCTTGTTCAAAGAGGGTGATCGCTTCCTTAAAGCTGCGAATGCCAACCGCTACTGGCCGACTGGTCGTGGAATCTTCCACAATGAAAAGAAAACGTTCCTGGTGTGGGTGAACGAGGAAGACCACTTGCGTATTATCTCCATGCAAAACGGAGGTAACGTCGGAGAAGTCTTGAAGAGACTCATCACTGGATTGAACCTGGTCGCTGCCAAGGCTCCATTTGCTCGTCACCCTCGTCTTGGATGGCTGACTTTCTGCCCTACCAATCTCGGTACCACCGTTCGCGCTTCGGTTCACATTAAGCTGCCAAAGATTTCTGCCAAGGATGACTTCAAAAAGATTTGCAGTGACATGAAACTTCAGGTATTCTTTATTTCTGATCTGACAGTTGTTGATTAATGTTTTTAGATTCGCGGAATTCACGGTGAGCACTCTGAATCGAAGGAAGGGATTTATGACATCTCCAACAAACAACGTCTGGGATTGACAGAATATCAAGCCGTTCGTCAAATGTACGACGGAGTCAAAAAGTTGATCGAACTCGAGAAGGCCGCCTCCTAAAATGAGAAACCCTTTTGATTTGTAGTAAAGTAGTCCGTGTTTTATCTCCTTCTTCAATAAAGTGTGAAAGGAATCCTATCTTTAAAAAGATTGAAGTTTGAAATCTGTAGCTCGATAACTGGGTTCAGAGGGCTTGACCTGATTATTTGTCTTCTACCTCAAGAATCCCACATGAGTGAGGCTGTGTCTCATTCTTGCACATGTGCGCGCACATTTCGCATCGTCGAAAGAGAGCATGGCCTAGAAAATCTTCTCAACGGCCACCGACTGCAGGTGAAAACTATTCGGAAAAAACTATCGTTCATGAAACTGAATAATATTATCCTAAATTTCTGTTTGGATTTAATTGAATTTCAAAATTTTTACAGTTTTAAAACTCAGGTAATGGCTTCCAATCGCGTCGCGGCGTCTTTACCACGAATCGGGGTCACTATTGGGCACGTTCCACAAAAGCTCAAAACCGGAGGTATTGAACCAAGTCGTCGTGCCAGACTCGAAGTGCTCCGTCGAATCGTTACAAGAACAGTTCGCGAAGAACGCGTAGAGTTAAAATGGAATCGCGCTGTTGAAGCGAGACCGTACTTGGAGCGGGTGGGAAAATATATACTCCAATTTAAAGCAATCCCGTATTTACAGTTAATCCAATTAGGTGTCGAACGTGGGCCACTTGATGAGTATACTTCTGAAATGATGGATTGGTGGCTACCTGAGAAAGACTTGATCACCAAAATGCACGAGGTGAGTCATATCGATCTGAGCTGAAATAATCATTCCAATCACACAGGTTATTGTTCCTCGCTTCCAAAATCGAGAATCTCCGTTCACTTCACTTTTTCGCTTACCTCCACAACGACTTCAACAGTATATCCAGAATAAGCGTGAAGTCTGGAAGCGCTACGATATCGGAGTTCTAGAAATTGATGGGAATCCATTCCCACCAGTTCAGGCGGAAAATCAAGAACAATCCAACTCAATTCTAGATGCTTTACTGTCTGACGCACTTCGTAATCACCATATTACTCTCCAAGAAAAACTTGAAACCTCTGCCAAGTAATAGTTTTAGTTGTTGAACTCTTTTAGTTTTTTCTACTTCTTCTTTGTTGATTTAATAAATTGTTCCTTTAAGATTTTGCGTTTTTCAGATGTTGATCTCATTGAAGCGTTTATTCGCTTATTATTTCCCGGACTGTTGTCATATTTTCGTTTCGAGCTAAAGGTTTTTTGCAGAAGCATACATGTTTGAAGAGCAGCCTGAAGTGAAAGAAGTCACCGAGAACGATCGTTTCGAAATTGTTCTCAAAAATGTTCGAGTCGATTCTGTAACCGAAGCAGCAATTCTGTCACAAAAGCGAGTTTTCGAAAGAGTTAGTCTTTCTAAGTTTAAAAAATGATAAAACCCACCATTTTTCAGACTCCACAGCTAAATTTGTTGTCTATCACAGGATGCAACCTACAGAACCTATCTTCTTCAATAAAGTTATGCTCCCGTCTTATTTCACTGGTTTTGCCTCAAAACGAGCTCAAACAGATCCCCGACGTTCTCGGTTTGTTCAAACATTTATCATGTCCAATATTGCATCTTGATTTACAGACTGTTTTCCGAGGCTACGGTTCATCGATCTCTCGCATAATTCATTGGATGCTCTTCCATCAACACTTCAATCCTGCGAGCATATAGAATCACTTATTCTGAACAACAATTCGCTGACAGAAAAAAGTTTTCCTAATTTGTCGAATCTCTTGAACCTGCACGTCTTCGATGCTGCTAATAATAATCTGTCAAAGCTTCCGGAATCCTTGATGTCTCCGAAACTTTCCAAACTGCATACTGTTATTGTATCGCATAACGTCATTGAAGAAGTTCCGAACAGTTTGAGCAACTTGAAACAGTTGAGAGATTTCAAAATCGATGACAATAAACTGAAAAATGTCCCGACAGTAATTGACCTCCTTCCAAAGTTGAAGCTTCTGGATATTTCGAAAAATTCATTCTCGGACAGCCGTTTTCAAAAATTAGCTAACGACAAGCGTGCAAAGCTGAACGCAATCGTTTCTTTGGCTAAAAAAGTTGGCAAATCAGTTGAAAATGAGACGGAGAACGAGGGTTCGATAGAAAACACTGTGGAGGATGTCTCGAAGAAAAATTCATCTCTCGTTGTTCGAACAGGAATCGAAAATTTAACTGTTCGAAGGCATATCAGTGTATCGGAAATCAGACCATATCTAGTCTGTTGTGTTTTCAATAACATTGATTTGAATGGTGACTCTTTCAAAAAGTTTATTGCACTCCAAACCAAATTGCATGCTTCACCGTTGTGTGAAAACCGAACACTTTCTGCAATTGGAACTCATCGTCTGGAGTCGTTCCATCTTCCGTTATGTTACATGGCTCTACCAAAAGAAGATATTCATGTATGCACAGTTTTTCGAGTAATTAGGTTATTAGTTTTTTTTCAGATTCGTGCACTCAACAAGAAGTCTAGTGTTAGCGCATCGGATTTGTTGGACAGTCTTCTCCGTGACGCGGAACTAGCCAGAAAAAGAAGCAAAAGAAGTACAATTGATCCATTGCATAAATACTTGCACCTGGTAAAAGACGAAAGTGCCCTGGCCTGCCTAGTCGACTCCCAGCAAATTGTTGTCAGCTTGCCACCTATAACGAACTCGGACAGCACTAAAGTAATATCGTTCTCCAAAAATAATGAGCAATCACTTTCTTTTACAGCTCACTGTCGAAACTAAAAGTGTATGGGTTGAAGTTTCATCAAAACAGTCATTGGAAGCCTGTAAGAAAACAATGGACGAGTTGGTTGTTTCAAGCTGCTCTATATTTCCATCTCTATCCATCGACCAAGTTCGGGTTGTCGATAACGATGCTCTCGTATCAGTGTATCCCGATAAAAATGATCTCCCCGGTATTTCGCTGAATCGCGTACCTCAATGATAACTTATTAATTAGTTTTCTGAATTTTGTTGAACTGTTGCCTGTTTTTTCTTTCTCTACCATCTGTTATCTAACATTGAATAAAAGTGTTTTTTTTCGTCGTGGGAAAATATCGTTCTCTCTCTCTCTTCCATACCACCTACCCTTTTCACTGGTGTCTAACCATGAACGCTGAATATTTATGGAGAAGTATTGTTGAGTCAGTTGCCAGAAGTAATTTAATTTTTAGAAAGAAAGTTCAAATTATGACGGACAGTAGGTGAGTTTTCCTTGCTGCAAACATCAACGAAAAAACTGTAATTCAGCAGAGTGTCGATTGCAACTAGCACAATCGTTTGCGTCGAAGCTGAGATCAAAGGAGAAGTCATAATCAAAGAAGGATGTGTCGTTCATCCACATGTCGTTTTCGATGCTACTAACGGTCCAATTTATGTCGGCGAAAATAACATTTTTGAAGAATTCGCAGTCATTCGAAACAAGTGAGTTTTTGCAAAGATTTGGGTCTATTTTGTTATATTTTCAGTAGTGAAGGTCAACCAATGATCATCGGGGATTCGAACATCTTCCAAGTTCACTCAAAATGCAGTGCGAAGTACGTAGGAAGTCGGAATGTTATTGGCGTTCATGCTCACCTCGAAGATGGATGCTCAGTATCAGATGACTGCAGTATTGGCCCAAAATGCCGCGTTTTCTCGAAACAGAATCTAGAACCTTCTGTGGCTGTATATGGACCATCTAATTCACACCGAATAACATCTACCCCAAATTTGGTTAGTGAAAATGACACTGGATTAGTTAGAACATCTCCTTTTACAGACACCAACCTTGCAACTAGAATTTCTCCGAAAAATTCTGCCATCTTACCATCATCTCTATAACAAAAAGAAAGTCACGGCAGCCCAATAGCTAATATGGTACACCATCAAGCATTTTCATTTAATATTTCGTGTATTTTTCTCATCTTTGTCTCAATTCTTTTAAAAAAAGATTATATTTTTCCTAGTGTGTTCGATGTTCTCAAAACTTTATTTACCCAAGGGTAAAACTCTTGGAAAGTGAACGAGATTGAAAAAAGTTAAATTGAAGGAAATAGTCAAAATCAACAATAAAAGCAACAACAAAAACAAATTGGAAAGATCTTATTCTTTCATGGCGACTTCTTCTCCTGGAGCTGCTTCAACGAGCGGAGTCTTTTTCAGGGCCTTCACCTTTCTTGTCTGAATATCATCAGTTCTCTGCTTTCCAACATGAACTCTGGCCAGTTGGTTTCCGAAAACGTCTTCGCTCATGTTCTTTCTTCTCTTCTTCATAAGTGCCTTTGGCTTCTTGCAGGCCAATTTGAACAGAGTATCATCGGCCAACTTTTTACGCATAACTTCCAAATTGAGCGATGGTCCCATTTCAGCCAGCTCGACACGAGGAGTAGCAGTGGCTGATTTTTTGAGCAATGGGCGGTAGACACGAAGCGCAATGGTTTTCTCATCGATGGCAGTGAAAACAATGACAGTTTCCAGTCCTTCAAGGCGCACAGTATCGACTTTTGGTCCACGGAACCAGTCAACCATCAAGTTTCCAATTCGTTTCATATCAGGATCCGATTCGAAAGCAGCGCCTTCGAGAACTATACAAGGTTTTGATCCGAGAGTCATTTTGGCAGTTTGAAATTATCGAGTATTGGAAATGGAAAATAAAGATATACAAACCTCGAAGTTCGATGCAGATTGATAAGCAATGATTCTAAGCTCCGCCATGTCGAGAAGCTGTCCATCGAACGTTCTTCCGAACGTCAAACAGTTTGGCTTTTTCTTCGAGTTGCAACCCAGAACAAACATCGACGTGTCAAACTTAGCTCCGGCGCGAACGATTGGAGTCTCATCTTCGAACAAGTGATATGGATTGTGTCTGAAAATACCCTTATATTTTGCCTACGCCTGCTTTCTATGATATTCTCACTTGTCCATTTTTGTAGTCAACGGCTTCTTCATATCATAAAGATCCATCATGGCATGGTTGATAATTTCATTCGTTTTTGTTCCACGGCAAAACAACGTCTTCTTGTCGTTTTCAACAGTTTTCGGTGCTCTGTCAACCAGCACTCTTTTTCCCTTCTTTGTTTTGATTTTCTCAACGCGAACCATCTGAAACTATAAATATACCCGCTTTAATTTGAAAAAAATAGGTCATGCGGTGAGAAACGCAATTACGAAAAAGACAAGAAAATCAATAAATATGTTTATATCCGTAATTATCACCGTAGAAAAAGTAAAATATAACAAGTGGCGACTAGAAAAATTAAGTGAAATTGTTTCGGCAGAGTGGGCACGTCGACTGATTGCTCGATTCGAACCATTTGTACTGAAAGAAATAATTGGGTAAAGTTTGGTGCGCCATGGTGAAAGTTAGGCCACGGCCGCCGCGGCTGAGTGAAAGACATCTTTCTATATATCAGAAGATGGAGACAACACAAAAACTCAGTGAATAGGAACACCTTTAAACAGTATGAAATGAACTAACCAAACAGTTCGAATGGAATCTGTTTTTGCACTGCTTGCATTTGACTTTTGGCAACTGATTGGTTTGCTGGTGCACAGTCATCATGCAAATCGTGCAGTCTTCAGCGCCTTCAATGCCTTTGTCAACATTTCGCTTCCACATTTCAATTCCTTCCAGAATAGCACCATTTTGATGGAAAAGATATGCATTTAACTGTAATAACCACTTCTTTGCACGGTCTCCTTTCACAATAGCTTTGTCAAGATTCATTGCTGGTACTGACAACGGATAATCGCGAGGTAGTTCGATAGTCAGTTTCATTTTCGTATCTTCCACTGTATACTCAGAAATGATTTGTCCTGTCACTGGTACTGTTCGTACTTTCAACACTTCTCCAAATTCAGCATTCTGAACCTTATTCAACTCGTTCTCGATGAGAAGCTTGCTCGCGTGTTTTGTGACCACTTCTTGGAAAATGGGCTTGAAGTTATTCGGAATATTTTTATGGAACAATCGAACAGCAGCCGGCAACAATGTTATAGATTTGAATAGAAGTCTGGAGGCAAACTTTTCAAAGAACAAAGGACTTGCGGTCAGATCCGATTGGAGATAATATTCTCGTTCCTGCGACTTTGCTGTAAAAAAATGAGATGAGTACCGAAATTGAAAAAAATACATCTGCTTACGAATTTTGCAAACTATTGGAACTTGACTAAAATCAAATGGCTGATCCAGCATCAAAGCGTTCAGAGCATTTTTGAAGAAGCTATCAATAGCATCACAGTATGCCACACGTTGTTCTTGGTTTAAGACGAACTCTTTCGTCGTTTCAAGAGGAAGTATAGCTAAACTGAGCAGCAATGGGCCGACGTGCTTGTGGATATGGTCAACTGGATAAGATTTAGAAATCATTACTGGGAGATTCAGTTTGGAACGATTGGCAACCTGAAATACTATGTTTAAAGTTTCAAACTCCTAAAATCATGGCTTACCATGATTTCCGTTTCATCTTGATCATCATCCAGTACTTGAGGGTTTTCTGTCTTGAACATTATTGGCACCAATCTGCGGTGATAAAATAAACCTTTTACTGATATTCAATTTTCTTACAATTTGGCTGCAGCGTATCCTATGAGTTGAACATGCTCAACATTCGACGAAAGAAGAATGAACGCTTGAGCAATGAATGATTCTTCGAGCAGAGAGTATTTGAAAACTGACAGCTCTGGAACGAACTCTCTGGTAACAACACTGTCATTCGGAACATTGGTTGGGAACTCCACCAACGTGAACATTGCTTTCAGCAGCGTTCTGACAAACGGTGTTGGTTGTTGCTCTTTACGAATCATGCGGAACATGCGAATGAACAAACTATTGATTGTAGGAACATAAAATTCTTTCCATTCTTCTATAGTTTGCGTAGGATGGTTGTCATTTTTGATAGAATCGTTGAGAACTAGGTACAGTTCGATGAAAAGGGTTGTCAGAGCTTCAAGGCGAGGATCTTCGTCGAAAGCATTTGGGGTATTTCCCAGAATGTCTGTGGATTGCTGCAACGTACTTCGTTTATGTATCTACTACATCATTACACCACCTACATCTAGAACTGTCACTATTCCACAGAGAGCATAATCGCGAAGACCTGATTCTTCGGCGACAAAGATGCTTCCACCATACTGAATACATTTTTTGACAAACATCAAATTAATCATCCAATGATAATTCTTCGATCTAAAGTGCGAAATACTTCAAAGAAATGTTACACACTATTAGCATACCTGTCAAAATCAAACATCTGGTAACCTCCTTCGAATACATTCATCAAGAAGTCAAGGGGTGTTTGATTTTCTCTGAAATCGAAACATAGGTGGAATCATATACCGACATTAAGTTATACCTATAGAGCACTTCCAACGCATGCTCTGGGACTTTTGATGGTTCGGCTTGACATTGAATATACTTCTTCTTTTGTTCGAAAGACATATCATAAGCATCGGCCAGAAAGATACAAGGAGAACTATCATCTAATTTGAATCGAACTTCGTCAGATCTTATCAATCGTTCTTCGATTTCCCTCCGAGATCGTTGCAACTCTTCGGTGAGAGCAACCAAGGAATATCTCTTTTCAAGTGCCGATATAATGCTAATGACTTGCCATCCAAATACTTGATGTGCGGAATTATAGTCTGAAAAGAAAAATTGTTCATGTGAAATTAAAAAAAAACACTCACATTTTGAAGATATATTGAATAAAGCGATCCTCGCTGATTCTGTTACGATTTCTTTTGCTTTGTGTTCATCCAGATGAGAGTAACAATGTTGATGTGTCGTAGAGATGACAGTTGGTTTCGTTGAGCACGACATAACTTCCAACTCCAGCTATAACATCTATTCATTTGGGACCTTGCTCAATGTTCACTTACGAATTGAAACTGTTCAATAATGGTACCACATTGCTTTCCGGAAAGCAACACGTTGTTCACAATATTTTGTCTGGTTTGTTCTTCACATAAATCAATCAGTTTGTCGACACGGCACGCAGTCTCCAGAATCCTCTCAATGTCATATTCTTCGCTGCTTGCAAACAACTTTTCGAAAAACTGCCCCGAGTTGAAATCCGATGTTAAGTGTTCGCTTAAGCAATTATAGTGTTCTGATTTTGCATCCTCGTCAGATTCAAATATTGCTGTGAACAACTTTAATATCAGAACATTTTTCTCTGCCTCATTAGAAACATCAGTAGACTTCATTTTCCGCAGAAGAGTTATCAGAAATTCTACATTTTCCGCAGCTTGCTTTGTATCCATCTCCACTCCCATTTCTTTCAAGAAGCTAACTGCGTCAGCTATGGCTGTGCCATTTCTCTTCTCATGCCAGTAATTAATCATATTCTGGAATGTCGATACAGGGACATTTTTGAGTAATTTGTTCCAGATGGTTGAGCCTCCTGTGAGTAAGAGGCGACGTCCTACATGATCATTTTTGACAGAAATGTTGAGCGACTTGATCTCCTGATTTTCGAGAAGCAATTTGATCAGCCGTACGATGTCTCCAGCTTGTGTTATGTCAAAATTCTCCGTTTTTTCGATGAACGAGAAATTACTAATCTTCTGAGACGTTGCATTGAAATAATCGTTCTCTGAGCAGGAAAGATTCTTTATAATCTGGAAGTCAACGAGCTCAGGGCTGGAGAGCAAGTTTGCGTGCAAGTTGGATAGTACTATATTCTTTCCAGGTTCAGTTAACAAATGCTTGATCAAACGGCTGTTTTCTGTTCCGGCTCCCACTATTTTCGATTCAATATTGAGCAAAAGCGTGCTCACGTCGGCTTCATTGATAGTTTTCAATTCTATGATCCATTGGAGCAGATCCGTTACACACTCCGCAATTTCTTTTGTGGGGAATGTCATAGCTTGTTCGGTGACTGTGACGATCTGAAATGCGTTCAATATGTTTTAGAATAAATACAACTTTAAAACGCACCAGTGGGTGAAGTTTTTCCCAAACTACTAAATTGATTCGATCATTTGTCAAAATCCAGCGGACGAAATCCGAAAACGCATTGAACCAACTTAGAACAGCATTGATAGATGCATCTGTGGGCCACGGCAAGTTATCAGTGAAGCTCTCCATTATAGTTCCTAGTACCTTCATATTATTTTCAAGACTTCCCATCTCTTTCAGAAGAAGAACAACAGCAGGAAGCAAAAAATGTTGCAACACTCTCCAATGATTTCCTTTTTTCCGAATGACATTGAGGAACCGAGGATAGATTCCGTTTTGTAGAGAAACTTTAGTGTGAAATTGTGCACTAGGTAACAGTATAATCATTCCTTCCCATGCGGTTGAACACTCTGGCGTGAAGGTTTGTGAATCAAGATGGTTCTGAATATATGTAACGATCGAGGGGGTGTTGAGAATGACTTCCACGTTGTTCTTGAATCGATATGCAAGATTCAGAACTTGAACTTTTAAGGCAGCATTGGTTCCTCCGAAAACCATCTTTAAGAATGCAATGTTCTCGAATAGCTTCCGCGCTTCCTCCTCCCAAATGGTTGAGTCCGCTCCAAATTCCTTGATATATGAAAGAAACACATTGAGAGACTGAGTTTCAAGCCTTGACTTTCTTGCTTCCCGATCTTCGGACGCATCGTATTCTACAGGAACTGACAAATCATGTTTTCCCTGAACAATTTTTGCTGCCATTTCGAACACGAGAGGTGCAAACAATTGAATAACTTTTTGTTTTTTATCAGCTTCGAAACCATCTCTGATCACAGCTCCGGCAGCTGCTGCTACTCCGTTTGTCACGTCGCATCTTGCGAAAAGAACCATTGGAATTATCTGAACATTATGAAGTGTTTCTTTCGGTTTTATAAGCCGGATCAGAAAATTAATTTTACCTTTTTCAACCCTTTACATGCAGATTTTTCCAACTTCACAAGAAACAGAGTAATCGTTTTCATGGTTAGCAGCCGAACAGTTGGACTTCCGTCAGTGCTGAGCTGTGGAACAAGACCGCAGAAATGTTCATAGCAGTTTTCTATAGAGCTCGTTTCCGCGATTATATTGGTCAGTTCTCTGAGTCCTTTTTCTCTTGTCTGGCAGTCCTTCTTCGTCAGCTTTCTCATCACAATTCTAGTTTCATCATCGATTCCCGAAAAGTTACTCAAACGGTTGCTGCTCGCCATCTGAATTATTCCATTAAGTACTTATTCGAGAATTAATAGCCGAACCTCGAAAATATTCATTTCCGGTGTCAGACCAACAAAGTTTTCTCCTCCTTGGGCCAGATAACCGTGGGCTGAGGCGCTACTAGCGTTCTGAAATTTTACAGTTGCTTTTTTTTTCTTCTTTCGTAATGTGATGTTTTCGAGAAGGTAATATGAAGCAAAAATTCAGTTGTTTCAGATTTTTTTATTAGTTGATTCAGGAATCTTTTTAAGACTATGTTCGAAAATTCGGATTCTATTGTCAAGATTTTTAATTTTCATTTGAAAAAAAATTAGGATTTTTCAGTCTCAAAAAACGTTCTTGATGGAACTAAAATCATGTGGGCCATCTCGATTTTTTTCCCAATGCTTTCCAGAAAAACTTTAAAATCAACTCACTTTTGCATTCCCTTTTCTCCTCTGTTGCTTACTCATCCTTTTTAGATTATGGTTGAGAAATATTTCTCAACTGGAAATGATGGGTAGAGCGATCCTGTTTGTTAAAAAAAAATATTCTGAAGGAGCGCGTTTGCCACAAGCACAGTACGGAGTCGTCGGAAATGAGCGAAGTACAATTCATTTAAATAAAGAGAAACTAAAGTTCATAGGGTACTAGGATATAACATGATGAAATGAAACAAGAGCATAAATAAAAATTTGAACTACATTTTTAAATATTAAGAATGGAATGAACTACAACGTTCAGTCGTCATCTCCCCATGCAGATTGATCCATATCTTCGTCATCCGGAGCAAACAAATCCTGAAGAGGAGAAGACAATAGCAATGTAAAAACCATATTTTCGGGGTCAATTTAAAAAATTAAAAAATTTTCTGCTATAGAAAAAGTTCACAAAGATTGGAGTTTCAATATGTTTTCCACAAAAAAGTTGAGAAAAATTCTGAAATATTAAAATTTTTCCAAATGTTGGAAACCCGGCCCGGCCAGACCCGCAAGCTCAGATTTTTTAAGGTAACAACATACATCATCGTCATCGTCCGCATCTTCATCCTCGCCCTCTGAATCAATCGCAGATACATCCAAGTCGATTGAAAGTTTTGATTCGTTTTCTGAATACATAAATTACAAAATCTAATGCCTGAAATAGACAGAAAAACCTTCATCTTGGTCAATATCGTCCTTTGAAACCTCAGCATTTTTGATCGATTGGATAGCCTTCATTTTGGCCTGCCTCTGACTGAATTCGGTCATATGTGCAGCCATAGAAAACTCCACAGGCGGCGACGAAGCCCGTTTTTCGTTGTTCAGAGGACTGAAGATTCCATTGATAGCTGATTCATCCTGTGTGGTAGCGCTATCATCGGATATGGATAGATCTAAGTCCGAATTCATCGTTTTGTTCTGCTGTTCAGATGATTCTCTGTGTGGTGGAATAGATTCCATATCCGTGTTCTCCTGGCCAAGAAGTTTAATGCCCGGATATTGAGGAACATTGGTGCTGATGTTTCGAGTGGAACCTAAAAAGAATGTTTAATCATCATGAAATAATTTTTCCAAAACCTGAGGCGATTGAAGCTCTTTTGAGGGCTCTCGCAGTTTGCTTCTCGTGTTTTTTGGATGGTGCAGCTTGGTTGGGGGTTTGGTATTGTTGGTACGGTTCAGGTCCAGGAATATCGTTTTTGGTTGCTTCAAGTTGTCGAAAAAGCTCCTTGAAAACAAATTCGTAATAAAATTAGGTCAATCATTTTACCTCTTTTTTCGAAATTCTACTTTCGGCGTCCGAAAGTTTCTCAGAATTTCCCGCTGCTTTCAGCCCGCTCAACACTGTTTCGTTTTCTACCATCTGCTTGCGTACAGCTTCTATGCCAGACTTTTTTCTCGATAAAGTCTCGTTAATCACCGCGTACTGTCGACTGTAATCTCTCATTTGTTCGATAGTTTTCAAAGCATTTTTCGCCTCTTTCTTGGCACTAGCAAGTGATGATTCAAGATTTCCAATACTGTCCGTTTCCGAAATATCGTCAGTCTCTGGAAAGTCCTTATTTTCTGAAACGAGCGATTGCAGTTCATCCGCAAGCTTCGAAATTTCGTCTGTATCTGAAAGAGTGCCGACAGACAGTCCATTCACATTGTTCTCTGTTTGGAGTTTCTGAAAATCAATGAGATTTCGCTGGAGAGTACAACTGTCTTACAGAGTAGAGTTCATTCAGTACTGAAATAACATCCGCTGTCGATGCTTCATTTGACTCCAGTTCTTGGAACACTGTGTCCCGAATCTTTTCAGCATCATTCAGCTGCAAAGGTTATATAGAAAATGGAATCGATATAATAGTAACCTCTGATTCGGAAGTGGCCCTTTTCCCGTCAACTTCTTCAACGTCCAAACGAATGGAGTGCAGCTTATTCTTTATTTCCGATGAAGAACTTTGGATTGCAGTTATTATTCCATTTTGACGATTAACCTCCTCTTGCAATTTTAAAATGTCTTTCTCAGCTTTCCCTTTCGCTTTAATAGTCGCCTGCTGGATCTTCATAATGCTGTCTTTCTCGCTTTTCAGACTATCTAATACAATAACCGAATTGAACTTTCAGTAAAGATAGTTATGTATCACCTTTTGAGACCGTGACTTCTCCTATGCTTGAGCGCAGTTTGTTTTCTGTGTGAATGCTATCTTCGATGCACTTATCATACGAGAGGGAGATCGATGTGATCGGGCTCAAATTGTGAAGAGAAAGATGATTTATTGCCCTAATCAAGTCCACCTGCTCGAAGCTTGCGTTTACTGAAAAATTCAATTCAGTTGAGGTCGTAGTTAAAAACAAACTTGAAGCAGATGCACGTTGTGCCATTTTCTCAGCTACAGCACGATGCACCTCCACTTCCGACTTGACTTTCTCAGATTTTTGTTCTGTGATGAGAGTCATGCGTTTCACTTGCAAGTTGCAGGATTCAACTGAAAAAAAAACCTCTTGATTGGTTAAGAAAATACTTCTCCATACGATGACAAAGAGAACGAACGATTTCATCTTGTTGCCGTCCGAGTTTCCGACACTTTTTCGTTGACAAATTATTGCTGAAAAACGCTCATACAATTGTTTTCAAGTTTTTTAAAAACTTACTTTTGTTCAATACAATTGAATTCTGTTTCACTATTCAAAACTCTCAACAAATGAACCATTTTTCTGAAAAACAAATGAAAAAAGGAGCCGAAAATGTTTTGACACCGGTTTGTATTCTTCAAGGAACATGGTGACTTATGAGTGGGTTTCGTAACGAAAATGCGCGGTTACGGTAGTTTTTAAACTAATGAGGTTATTCAGGGAGTCGGCAAAAAACTCAGAGATCCGACGGGAGAAAACTGGGAGAGATATCGGTTCGAACTGGGAGAGGTTTTGGGTCGAACTGGTATGTCACTGTGTTCTCTCCAGCTTCTCTCCTGGTTCGAACGAGGAGACCCCGGAAATTCCGGGGAAAAAAACTCCGGGGTCTCTCGAACGAGCGGCGGAGTGTCGTTTGCGCGCGCTTTCAGTGAAATTTAAATGTTCGCCCCTTATTTAACAATCAAATCAAACTAATTAACAAAAATATTTATTGAATCGAATGAATAGGAAGAATATAAGTTTAGATAACTAAAAAGTAAAAAAATAACCTCATGAAATAATAGAAATGTGAGCTAACTTCTTATTCTCAGCTTCGGTATCGCAGTATTCAGAACTTCGAGGTGAATCACGATATCTGGAACTCTCCTGCAAACCTTCTTTAGTGCTCTCGTATTTTTGCAGCTTGTAGCATTATGGCGACTGGAGCTCTGGAATGAGATATAGGTCATAAGTCTGCAAAATGGAAGTGTTCATACCGTTTTGTTCATAGTACATTTATGTCCTCTAGCGGACGATGTGTACTCTTCCTTGAGATTCATTTAATAAGTTATCTTCTTCGCATCTTAGTGCAAGCTAAATGCACTTTTTTTCAGTACTTCAGAAAATAAAATCCCAATTCGAATTCTTTAGCTTTTCATTGTTTACAGTTTTGCAATTTCTCTTTCAATCATCATAGGCTTGGGGTTGTAGATAGGATGAATATTCTTTATGAAATCAAAGACGATTCAACTGAAAGAACAATATTTTTGATTATGTGATGTTGTCAATAAACTCACTCAAGGCCTACACTGTGAACTCATCGTTTCCAATAAATCGAGATATTCTCTATCTTTCCTGACAACGTAAGGTTCCCAAGTTTTCCATGTTGATTCCGAGTGACGTTGTCCGAGAGATTTTGCACTAAACGGCAAACTTTCCCCGAATGTTTCTCGCAATATTTAGGAAACAATGACGAGAAAAGCGACTCCTGAGAAGTTCATTTGTATACTCTTCTGGAAACCCTCTTAACATTATTTAGATCATAAATGATTTTTTTTTTCGGCATGACGAACCAACCTCGCTATTCAAGTGGATGAGTTCAACAGCCATGTACATAATTACCGTACTGAGAATGCCGCAAATCAAAATCCATTCATTAGGTCACTCATTTTATATAATTAATCCCGATATATTTAAATCGTTTTGATCGGGTCATAACTCGTTTTCTTTATTCCATTGAAAGCCTGCAATTTCACGCATGTTTTTTGTCACTAGACTTCCAGACTAACCTGCTCACGACAAGCCGCGGTTTCCGAAACTCAGACCTTTTGAAGGCAAATACTCATCTGCTTTGGTATTATCTGCTATTTACTCGTCTGCTATATTGGCTCGTCTGCTATAGCTAGATCATCTGCTATATTGGCTCATTTGCTATAGATCATTTGCTATATTTGTCTTATCTGCTATTAGGAAGATGATCTGCTATGGGGTTTCTCATCTGCTATTTTTTGGCTCATCTGCTGCATGGAGATTCGGACATTGAAAAAAAGGAAAAAACAAAAACAACAGAAAACAACAACAAAGCTAACAATTATTAAAGACCAGAAGTTATTAGAAAATTGTAGAATTTCCAGCATCTGGTGAATGGTCCTGTGGGGTGAACCTTCTTGTTCTCTGTCTGAAAATTTTTTTTGAAATCAGATTTTGAGTGTTCACTATGTACCTCATACTAGAAGAGGTTCGGCGACCATTTGTTTGCGAAGAATAGAACGTATTTATTACTTATATTATGCTTGTCTGAGAAAAAAAAGGTTAGAGAGTATTTTTTGCAGTCTGAATACGGTAGCGATATCGAAGCGGAGAGCCTAAATAGCACACATAAGGTGGAGACACAGACACTTTTTCTCTGCGTCTCAACCTTTTTTTTCTCAGACAAGGATATTACGGGAAATAAATTTTTAAATAAAAAAATCGGAAACGAAAAAAATGTAAAAATTTCTGGAGTAAGCTAATTGTGATGTATTTTGATTCAGCTAATTGTAATGTATTTCTGTGATCGTTCTATTTTGTACCACCGGATATTTATCCCTCTTTCACTTGTAAACTTTTTTATCTAAACCCGTCCCCAGAAATATTTGTGTTATTTCTTTTATTGTTTTTAAGTAAAATCTCTTTTTTAGCTGTTTTCTTAATCTGTCCGCTGTTCCCTTGATGAAAAATCGAAAATTCAGAGCCATGATTGTGAAATTGTTGTAGTTTATAGTCTAGTTAGCAGGCTTGGTCGGAATCGGAAAATCGAGTTCTCGATTTTTCCGATTTTTTTCGGAAAATTTTTCCGTCGGAAAATATTCCGAATTTTTTTTCGGAAAATTTTTTCCGACGGAAAATTTTCCGAATTTTTTTTCGGAAATTTTTTTCTCGAAATAATCATGCTGCGTTCAAAGTGAAGAGGAAATCTCTACTTTGTATAGTTGAAACGGGTGCAACGGTAACCCAAGCGCGGCGAGACCCGCAATCGGTGTCGATTTACGGGGTCGATTTAAGGTGAATTTTTTTTAAATTAATTTTTTCTGAATGAAAACATACTTTAATCAGGGTTTTCATTACTTTTTCAACAATCACAACCGACATGGATGAGAATCCTATCAAGTTTTGGGCAAAAGCAACCAGTCAAGAAGTCTTTCCAACACTTTACCGGCTTCACCTTCGTTTTTTTTTCTGCTCCTGCAACAACGGTCGAAGCAGAAAGGTTATTCTCGTCGGCGAAAAATATTCTCACAGATAATAAGAAATTACTGAACGCACAAATTTTTCCAAACTTCTTTTTTTGCAACAGAATGTAAAATTGATGGGATTTCATCAACAAAATTCAAAAAATAATTAATACTTTTGTTACTTTTTGTTACTTGTGCTTGTTCATCTATTGTTTTCCATTTCATTTTTGTGCTTTTTGTTGTTTTTGTTGTTTTTGTGTTTTTGTCAAATAAACTGGTAATTTTTGACTAATTGAAATTCGAGAAAATTCGAGAACTCGATTTTCCGGAAAAAAAAGTCGAGAAAAAATTCGAGAACTCGATTTTCCGAAAAAAAAAGTCGGGAAAAAATTCGAGAACTCGATTTTCCGAAAAAAAAGTCGAGAAAAAATTCGAGAACACGATTTTCCGAATTTGTTTTTCCGAACAAGCCTGCTAGTTAGCATACCATTGATTTCGCAACAGAGAAAAAATTTCAGCGAATTCTTCACTTACTAGAATCTGACTTGCCATGTTCAAGTTACTTGCGCGCCAGAGTTAATAAAGCTCAGGTTTCACTGATTTTCCCAAAAAATAGCAGACTAGAAAACCCATAGCAGATGATTTTCCTGATAGCAGACGAGATTCTGAAACTGGAGTAAAAATAGCAGATAAGACAAATATAGCAGATGATCTATAGCAGATGAGCCAATATAGCAGATGATCTAGCTATAGCAGACGAGCCAATATAGCAGACGAGTAAATAGCAGATAATACCAAAGCAGATGAGTATTTGCCCCTTTTGAAATAGTGTAAATTGAGGTGAGAGCAATTTATCGATCTCTTCTTCCGTTTTCGGTTATCTCTTTCATAGTTTTTACAAAACCATTCAACGCTGAAAAAGACGGAAAAAATGTTACCTGCAGAGCTCTCTCCGAATTCGAAATTCTCAAAATCGTGGTTTTTTTGTCGGTCATAAAAATCGCAGTATTCTATAGAAGACGTAAACATAAATAGAACATATGCATGAATAAAACTTTGAATATTATAAATTACAAAAAACTGTTTTAGCCAACGACGCTTCTCCTTTACAGGTGCGCCTATTTTAGCAGCTTTGCAGCCGTTCGAACCTGGTTCTCACGGCGTTTTCTCCAGACCCCCTTTCTCTCCCAGTTTTCTCCCGTCGAATCTCTGAGAACTCCGCGAAAACTCGGAGAATGTGCAAATCTGAAAATATTTCGGGAAAACTGAAAAAAAACTATAGAAACATATTTATTCCCAACATTTGCAGCCATACATTCATGAAAGAAACATGTGTGCTTCATTATCCCAATGTTTCAACAAAAATTGGGAGAAAAACTCATAATGGGGCCTACGAAAGAAAAAAATACCATCAATAGAGCATAAGACATTGAAAACCTTAACATCTAACAAGAAAGTACTGGCTTCTAGCCCATCATGATCAGGTGAAATCGGGATTCAGAAGATGAGCTATGAAATCAGGTCTTCTTCAGGTTTTTCACAGTTTGTTTCACCATGTTTATGCTGTTTATTATCTGTTGAAAAAGATTTGATCAGATTCCCCAACATGTTTTAATGATCAGAGTCTCGAACCAACATAAAACCTACAAGTTTTGTGTTATATAAGTGACTTCTACAAATACCATCCACTGTTCACTGAAGAAACTCAGTGAGTCATTCATTTACACAATCTTCTGAAAAAAATATTCGTCGAGAACTGTTTTATTTTTCAAGTCAACATGATCATGAAACGTCATCGTTTGGTTATCGAATACAAGGAAATCTGACCCGAATTGAATGCTATCATCTATCGTATCTTGTTAGGTCAATTGTGTTCTTTATTCTTCATCAAGTCAACGTATAATCTGAACAGTCCTAACACTGTAAATATACAATGCTCTTTGAAGAATTATAATTAAAAATTGGTCCCAGGTTTGATATAAAAAATGGTTCGTGTTATAAAATATTTCTACAAACGGTTGGTTCTTTTAATGTCATAAACACAGTCTATTCAAGAGTGAATGGCTAAACTTTTTTTTTCATTCTCTTGAAGAGAATCTCTCCTATCGTTTCATTCGCCCATTCTTTCTATATCAACTGTAATGTTAGAAGCAGCTGCGTCTCTCTATCTAGTCTCGAAACAAAAACTCAGCGGGTCGATCGAGACGATCTGGTTTGACGACGTCGTCGTCATCAAGACGCCTTCTCTTCCTTCTGTCTTCGACCGCTTCCTCATTCACAATCTCATCTTCTTCTTTCTTTTTTCTCTGCCCTTCTTCTTCTTCTTTTCAATGTTTGTTTTTGTTAATCTTCCTCCCAATTACTTACTTCTTCCCTCCTCTCATTATTTACCAATCCTAGCCCACCACACTTATTTTCAACCATCAGTTAGTTCATTTCTATCATCTAGGAAATGTTCGTCTTCGTGGTGGGTACACTTATTGTCTCTCTTCTTGTACAAATCGGAGAAACAGCGAAGTGCACTGCCAAGAGTGGAGATATCAGTGCCCGGTGGCAAGTGAGTCATTCTTTATTTGCAAACTTCAAGTAGTCTAACTAAAATAACAAAGAAAGATTGATGGTTTAAAACAAAGTTCTAAAAAACAGCTAACCATGTCGTTTTAGGTGGTCGACGGAGAACTTACTGTAGAGGTAACCACCAACAACATTGGAAACAATGAATGGTCTGCTGTTGGCTTCGGACCAGACATGGTAGAAAAACATTTATCGGCTCTTCACTAATATCTCATTTATAGAGTGATTTGAATGTGGTAATATTCCAAGTAGTTGATTTCAAACCAAGTTTGGTAACTGGAACAACCCAAGGATACGGAGCTCCAACCTTGGATTCCTCGCCATCTGTAACTCTCCAATCTCTAAATTACAACAGTAAGTCAAGTCAGATCAAAACCTAACAAGATCGAATTATATCAGGTAACACTATGGTTGCTCGATTTGCCCGTCCACTTGGCTCCCTCTCTACATGCACAACTTGGAATGTAAGTATTTATTCTTTCGAACTTTCCCTTTTCCCACCACCCTCTTCTACCGTAATCCCTTCTATCTCCCCCTGACATAATATTTCAGTTCGTCACTGATGGAGCTATCGAAGACGGATCAATCGGATATCACAACACTGCTCCCCACTCTGTAGAAATTTGTGCTGACAAGTGTACCCGCAAGATTTTCGACTAACTCCCATTCCTAGCTTTCGGACCTATTTTTTCTTCTCGTTTTGCTCACTTTCTTCTTTTTAATTTTCAAAATCGGGAACCTTTTCAAACGTTTAATAAATCAATGAAAATTAATTGTTTTGCCAGTTCTTCAATGCTCAACCAATTAGTGGATCATCGCTTGCAAGTCTTGGTTCTCCAGAAATCCAAATCACGGTAATTTATGGTTATAGGTGTTAATTAGATAATCATGTGATTTCTAGGATGTGTGCCCAAATGTATGTACTGGAGTATTCACTCAACGTGACGTGGCAGTTGACCCAGTTCCACAGGCCGCTATTTACAACAATCGAATCTCCAATCGTTTCGATACTCTTTTCGATTCCTCTTCTCGCAAACGAAGATCTAGTCGCCTCTTATGATCTCTGTGTTCTCTTCTTTGGTCTTTTGTTGTTATTACCCATACAAATGAATCTGTGATCTTCTATTCTATCTGCATTTTGCAAACGCAACTTGTAAATCAGAGATGTCGAGAATGACCTTTTGGAGAAACGGAATCCGGAATCCTGACATCTCTGTCATTAATCGTCTGATATAAAAAACTATCCTATTTACAGCAAAAGCTCAGACAAGCATAATATTCAAAAAAAAACGAAAAGCAAAAGCACTTTATTAAAAATCTAATTGTTCTCTTTCCCAATTACAGTACGGTTCTCAATAACAGTAAAACTCTGATCTTTCAGATTCTCATCGTTGATCTCCACACATTTCACATCGGATCCTGGTATTCGTACTTCGCATTCATCACAGCTTTCTCAACGATGCTCCTATAGAAATAAAGATTGATGTGTCTTCAAATGTCTGACCTACTTTAAAGCTCTTGCTCCAGTTTTTCTCTTGACAGCCATATCAGCGATCTTATCGATAGCAGCTGGAGAGAATGTTAGTTTCACGTTCTCGTTCTCAAAGAACTTTTTCGTTTGAGCAACCAAGCTTCCTTTTGGCTCAGTTAACACAGCCTTTAGGTGTGATTTATCGAGGCAATGGAACGGAACAATCACTGGAAAACGGCCAACAAGTTCAGGGATCATTCCAAATCTGAAATTTATGAATTTGTTCAAAGTTTCCTTAGGAAAATTCTAACGAAATAAGATCTCCTTGATCACATTGCACGAGCATTTCATCTCTTGCTTTTGACACATTTTCTTCATCAGAGTCCATCAATTTTTCCGTTGTGTGCTGATCATTGTATTCGTGAGGAGATGCAGATGAAGAGAAACCAAGACTTCTAGAAATTTAAAATCAAAATCTGTTCAAAAAAACCTTTAACCTTTTGTCCAATCGTCTAGCAACAATATGCTCAATATTTGAAAATGCTCCAGAAGATATGAATAGAATGTTAGTAGTATCAATTGTAACTTTTGAGTTTGGTGCCAGCGGATCTCTCACTTTTACGAGACTTCCTTCGACAAGCTTTAACAATGCTTGTTGTACTCCTTTTCCGCTTACATCTGAAATTTTGGATATCAGTCCATTAGAAATCCATCACTCTGACCTCGATTTCCGGAAGTGTGAAGAGGATCCGAAGACGTGTAAATTTTGTCGAATTCATCCAAGAAGACGATTCCACGTTGACATCTCTCAATATCTCCTCTAGCTTCCGCTAACAGCTTCTGAACAACTGTATCAACATCATCTCCAACGTATCCAGCTTGTGTCAGCGTTGTACAATCACAAATGACAATCGGAACATCTAGAACTTCAGCCAACTTTTGAGTCATGTATGTCTTGCCAGTTCCTGATGCACCGAGAAGAATCATGTTTGATTTTTCAAGAAGGATATCCTGACGTTTCTCCAGATCCTTCAAAACTTGACGTTGTGATTTTTCAATGTATTCTGGAAGATATTCCTCCTCGATTTCGGGATTCTGTTTCCTTAATTTCTTCCGTTCTTTAGCAGCAGCTACGGCTTCAGAGAGCATCCATTGCTGAAACAAATGTCTTTATAAATATTTGTAAACACCGAAAAATACAGTAAACACTCTAATAGAATACCACACAAACCGTCCACTTTGATCTCAAATATCTCATTTCCTGTTGAAGTTTTAAAAAAGTGATTGGCTGGCAAAATGCTTATCATAACATCAACAACATTTTTTTAGTTGAATACTTTTTGATATCTTTCATAGAAAGACGATTTGAGAGTATTCTATTATAGGTTTATGGTGGTTCGATTGTTTTCTAGATTTTATATCAAAACCAATGTTATGATCCTAAATCTAATAAAGACATTTTTTCGAAAGATGTGTATTCGATGTTTGACCCCATTACCTCCGTAACTCTCAAATTGTTTTCAACTCTTCTGTAGTGTTGATATACAGCAACAGCAAGACACTTTTTTGCTGTCTCCTGTCCGACAACATACTTATTCAGATGTTCGACGATTTCTCTGAAATATCAAAGTCTCAAAGAATCGAATATCCATTTTAAATACTAACTTTGGATACAAAATGTGCATTTTTTCACTTCTTCCTCCATCTCTTCCAAATTTAGCCAATCCATTTGGTGGCTGATGGGTCAACGCGCTCTGAATAAGTGTTGCTCCAGAAATGAAGCCTTCTTCAATAACAAAAGGAAGAGAATCCGTTTTCTTGGAAATTTTCTTAGCATGAATTACTCTTCGATCAGATTTCCCTCTAAAACTGCGGATTTTCTAGGACCCCCTCAAACTCTGGTTACCTTTTGATTTTATAGTCGATTCCGGAAGTTGAGATGAAGCGAGAAGTATGAATTGCTGGGTTTGCTAAAATTATTTTTCGTTTTTTTTTTCTCAAAAATAGCTTTGAAGAGGTTTTACCCGAAGCAACAAACTGTGAGTAAGAAGAGGATGCGATGCGAATCATTTCGAGTAAAAACAAGAATAAACAACAGAAATTAGAGTTTTGAAAAGTTTTTCCAAAACGCGTTAGGAAAATTTGTTAAATTTTAAAATCGTAAAACTTGGTATAAAATTATCGAAACGATGGATTTTAAGTGATACAGTATCCCAGTTCGAAAAAGAGCCCAAATGTGGGTAGTGAGATTTGTAAAAGGTCTGTTTTAAATTGGGATTTGATTATGAATATTTTCTTGAACATAAAACAAATATTTTAAGTTTTGATTTCAGCAAAGTAGATTAACAAAAAAATTAAACTACCGTAAACACTCTAATAGACTGACCCATCAAACCGCCAACTTTGAATCCATATATCTCATTATCTGTTAAAAATACCAAAAAGGGGTCAACTAATAAAATGTTTATCATATTATCAAAAGTATTTTAATAGTTAACCTCATTTTGATATCTTTGACAGGAATCGAGATAATAATGCTCAAAGTTGAAAGTTTACGGAAAGTTTCTTGTTGACACGATGAGAAAATTTCATCCTGATTTTCCGAATCATTTCTATTCTTTTTTGGTCATAGACTGTTTCTCTCCGATTTGTCTATGTCTCGGGATCCATTCACTGGTCACAATTTGTCAAACTCGTATAAATTTATGCTGAACTATCGGGAGACACATTTTAGACTTTGTTTTTTTGTTCACAAGTTCCCTGATCCTTCTTGTGATTTTGAATTGACCATCTTCGTTCAATTCTCATCTGTTTTGATTCTCTGTTTTTTCCGGCCTCTCCTACTGCCGATTTCAGAGTGTAAAACTGTTAAAAGTCGCCATTTCGTTCCCTTCTTCTTCGTCATTTTTTTCCGTCTCGCCTCCTACGAAAACCAACCTTTTCTATTACTTTGTCCCTATTTTCAATCGCTTCTTCTGGTTGCTGACGTCGATGAAAAATGCCTAAAAGATAACGGACGTCAGAAGAGACACAGACACCTCTTGGAGGACATATTTTGACATTCAATGAACGAGAAAATACAAAAAAGGAAGAGAGAAGAAATGATGCTTTTCTTTTCAACGGAAGTTGTCCATTAACTGATAACTTAACAGTAGCACCCGTAGTAGCAATAAAGTTGATCATATCACCCAGAAGACCTGAAAAGGGCGGTCAGAAGAAGAAAACGACAGTGGGCCGAAGAAATGTAATACAACCGAATAGTTGTTGGGTCGGGTCATGTTTTCTGTTTATGACATTTTGCAACTTCAACCTTTCTTGTTCCACAATCTTCTTTTTTTTTGTTGATAATCGTCTGCCATTGTTGAATACTTATTCCCGACGAATGGTGGCATTTTGAAGAAAAACAGAAGTTTAGAATGAAATCATTTTAAACAGGGTCTCCCAAAAATGGAGAATTCGTTCTGTTTTTTTTTTTGGAAATTGAATACCGTAAAACCTGTGTAAGTCCGGCCCTTCTATTGCTTCAAATTTCCTCCGAAAGGCCTTTCAATTCTATTACATATTCTACGGTTCTATCGTAACTGAAAGTTAAAAAAAATATTAAAAAATGTCAGAAAATACTGAAATTAAAATAATGTATTGTTATGATCACCACAACTAGTACACATTTCGACATGTGAAAAAAAAGAAAAAAACCTTCAACAATCAATCGAGAATGACTTTTAGATGTACCTGTATTCTTTAAATAAATGAACCGTAACTTAATGTTTAAGTATTTGTTTTCTATCCCAAAATTAGTCTTTGTCGATCATCTTGACTACATAACTAATGTCATGACCTTCTTTTTGCCACGTCACAATCTACAGAATGTGTGACTTTCTTCTTTCCTTTCACACATTCCTCTAGCTGATGGTCTTTTTTCTATTCCCACCCCATTTATGATTTCGTTAGTTTTTATCGTTCTCTTTTCTGTAATTAAGCCTATTGTTGCCGTTCCTGATGACCTTCTTTTTCCCTCACTCGTATTTTTCCAATCAAATAAAAAAAAAGAAGAAAATAAATGAAGGACCGGTCCTGTGCTAATAGCTTTCTCACTTCCATTTTTTAGTCGTCACCTGGACCTGTTAAATTTCATTTTCCGATCTTTTACAGTGTGTTCCGCCTTTTCGAAAAATGATTCTATCAATTTCAAAATTTTCAGGCAAATTTTCATTTGATTCAACTGTATGTTCGGGCAATGACCGCCAATGAAAAACCTCCCGCGACTCATGGTAAATGACTCTCAAACACCTTCGTTTTCTTATCCATGCTATTCAGGAGCGGTGAAGACAACGCGACTAGTTCGCGGAATATCTTGGTTCTTTGAGAAATGGTCTCATTTCGTAGCAAACCATGCCGTTGCACTTATCGTCATTTGTGTGGTTCTCACCTTGATTGGAACATTCAAGGTGGCCACGACCCCGTAAGATTTAGATGATAGAATTGAAAGATACATTAGTTTTTTGTAGGAATGATAATGACATCACTGGATACACACCTTATGGGGCAAGAGCCAGAGATGAATTCGATGTGAGTTTGGAATTCTGATAATTAGAAGAAGGCTCATCCTATCAAAAACTCACTATAAATTTTCTAGGTTATGACCGACTTCTTTGCTCACAATGGAAATGGAATTGCAATGTTTGTTCTGATCCTTCCAACACGTCACCAAAGTGTTCTTCATCCAGATGTTCTTCGAGAAGCTCTTCGGCTTGAAAACATTCTGTCATCTAACTTCACAATGTTATCTGCTGAAGGAAAACACGAAAACTATCAGGAGTTCTGCACGAATTTCTGTCAGATCAATGAGCCATTTGTGCAATTCGCTGTTAGTTATAATACGAAATTTTTTTGATTATCAATACAATTTTCAGAGAAGCTACTTGACTGAGCTGGATAATTCAAGGAATGGAACTGATTTATCGGACAGAATATCTCTCAATTATCCGATTACCAGTATTTATTCAAGAAAAATGAGCATTCAGCCAAACTTTTTTGGAATTCAAATGGAGAATGATACTAGTAGAAGCATTACTAATATCCGATCTTCAAAACTGATTGCTCTACAATTAAGATCTGAAAGAAAAGAAGGATGGAGTGGACAAGCTATCAAAGATTTTGAAATGTCCATCACTAATTATTTCGAAAAGTTAGTGTGTTAGAAGTGGTCTCAAATTGGAAAGTTCTCAAATTTACAGACAGTTCACATCTACAGAAATTCGGGTTTTGACTCTCTCCACGTCATACGTTGAAGCTGAAGTTGTCCGTGCTGGAATGTCTCTTCTACCGTTTTTGGTTGTTGGATTTGTTATTATGGCAATTGTTTCATCAGTAACTACTTTCTTTTCTGCTCTCTACATGCAACAAGTCTCTATTCACAAGGTATCAGAACAAACAAAAATATTTTTGCGATTACTGTATCTGATACTAATGTCAAAAACCTTAATTAAACGACGTTTTCAGTTCTCTCTAGCAATTGCTGCATGCATTTGTCCATTCATGGCTTGTGGTACGGCTCTCGGAGCACTTTTCTTCTGCGGGGTCCGATTCGGATCCATTCTCTGTGTAACTCCCTTCCTTGTTCTTGCTATTGGAGTTGATGATGCCTATCTGATGATACATTCATGGCAAAGAGTAACAGCTGAAAGAAGAAAGCATCCCGTGGAGAATGATTCCCCGGGAAGTCGTCTATCAGAAGTCCTTGTTGATACAGGACCAGCTATTCTTATCTCTGCTCTTACCAACATCTTTGCCGATGTCGCAGGTTGTTTCACCTCAAGTCCTGAAATTTCTCTTCTGGGATACGGTAACATGGCTTGTATCTTCTGTGATTTTCTTTACCAAATCACTTTCTATTCTGCCATTATGACCATCACTGGTTACTTTGAAATGAAAGAAGAAGGACAGAAACGACACATCAAGAAAATCGCATGTGGTGCTGATGACGACGATTCTAGTTGTACGGTGAGTGACGAAATCTAAAAATTTAGATAAAATCTTGATGACGGAAAAGCGATAATTCCCGATGAAAAGACGGTTTTGAAACGAAATAACCTTTACTCTATTTGAAGGTTATTTATTGTTTTCTCAAAGATTCTAATTCAGAGAACAGGAGACGACATTTTATATTGGAGCAGAAGAAATTTAGAGAAAGAGAGGAAGGGATTTGAGACATGTAGACTAGATGAGCAAGAATCAAAAGTGACAGTTGTCGGAGAAAGAATGAAAAGAGAGAGCAAGATTTAAAGAGACTTTAAAAAAAGTTTAGATATTGCACGTAGATTGAAGAAGATCAGAACACAAACCGTATTTCCTCTAATAGAAGCTCACCGAAACCGTCAACTTTGAGCTAAATTATCTTTTCCTGTAAAAGATGCCAAAAATTTGCCAAATGAAGAAAAATTAGTGATATTAGGTTAAAAAATTTATCAGTTGATAAATTTTTGATATATTTCCTAGGAACCGAGATAATTGAGCTCAAAGTTGAAAGAAGTGGGCTTCAACGAGAGGTTATACGGTAAATATTTATAATCTAATGCCTGATTCCTAATGGGGTTATTCAGGGAGTCGGCAAAAAAGGAAAAAAAAAAACTCCGCGAAAACTCGGAGAGTGTTCCAATCTGGCTGAAACTTTGGGGAAAACTGGAGAAAACTATAGGAAACATTTTGCCAAAGTTTGGGGTCAAAATATCAACTTTGAAAATTTGTCTGAAATTCCAGCCCAATAAAGAAACAGAAACATAAACAGAAGAGAAACATAGAATAAATCAAACATGATAGCCAATGTTTCTAAAGAAGATGTTCATTTTGAAATATAAATTATAGAGCTCATCTGTGGAGAGTTTCGATGCCGTTGTCAAGAGACGAGTGGCCAGTTTTTTGGAATTCTACATTTCCCTGCTCACGAATGCATTATTCCAACTGTTCGTCATCTTCATCTGGGTCATTTTCTTGATTATTTCCATATACGTGAGTCCCGAAAGACAAACGAATCCTATGAAATGATAGCTCAATTATAGGGAATCACAATAATGAATATCAATTTGAGTCCGAGAAAGCTGTTTATGGAAGATTCGAGTCTCCGAGAAATGGACGATCTCAGAGTTCAATATGTTGTTCCTCACTACTACTTGGCCAATGTTTTTGTGAGAAAACCAGGAGATTTGACAGATGGAAAACGATTAGAGAAGTTCGCATTATTAACCTAAAATTAATCATAATGATGTTCCTTTCCAGATTGAATCAGTTTGTAGAAGAAATGGAGCATTTGAATGGAAGTTGGGGTGCTTTAGGAACAAACTATTTCATTAGAGATTTTGTTGAATTCCAAAAAGCAATGTCAGAAGAAGAGGAATCGGAAAATGAAGAAAAAGGAATATCAGTTGCCAAAAAAGGAGGTATTGATATCAACAATCTATCAATGTTCCTAGAATGGCCTGAGTACCTTTTCTGGAAAGGGTTTGTACAATACCACACGGAAAGGTACGGTAATTTAGTTTCTATTTGAGTTTCAAAACCAAGTTTTCAGTAATCAAACAGTCCTTGATCGATTCTTCATGACTTTTGCAATCCATGGGGATAATTTACAATCTTGGCCAGCAAGAGGAGATGCGTTGAGAGAATGGAGAAAAGTTGTTGATAAATATAGGTTTGTCTTTTTGAAACCGAAAAAAAGATCAGCCATAATTTTGCAGCAATGAATTTGGTCTCTCAGTGTTTTCTGATGATGGAATCTACGTTGATCTCATTGAAAATATGCCAACTGACGCCTGGCAGTCAGCAGTGGCCACACTAGCTTGTATGGCTCTCATTTGTTTTATTTTCATGTACGATGTGCCTACTGTAATTGTGGCGACATCGATAATTGCAAGTATCATGACAGGTAATTAAGATTCATCTGAACATTTTCAATTTATTGAGTTCAGGTATCCTTGGAATCTTGTCTCTCACTGGAACAGATCTTGATCCAATCGTCATGTCAGCATTGATTATTTCAATTGGATTCTCTGTGGATATTCCTGCCCATATATCTTATCACTACCACACATCTTCATCTGAAAATGGAATTAGAGAACGACTTCATCAGACACTTTCATCTGTCGGATTTCCAGCTCTACAAGCTTCGTTCTCCACTTCGCTGTGCGTTCTTGCCCTCAAATTTACTACTATATATATGTCAAACGTAAGTTAGAAGTTTTGAAAAGAGAACAATATCGAATTCCAGGCTTTCGTGAAAACCATGATAACATGTATGATTCTCTGCGTCTTCCATGCTCTCGTCCTTCTTCCATCTCTGTTTGCAATCTTCAACCGTATCTGTTCCTTATTCCATGTGGCGAAGACATCTTCAATTGAATCGAAATGATCTCAAGTTGCGCCTAATCTATCATGTTTGCTCGATCTTTGTTCATTCCCCTCCAGTTTTCTTTCTTCTTCTCACTTTGCTTTCTTAATTTTGTCAAAAACTTTACGGTGAATTCATTGATGATACGGTAATAAACAGTTACATAAATGATATGATAAGAGACCCACATGGGGACTGATTATTCGAGAAAGTATCGAATTATCATTTGAACTTCCAGGTGATAAACTCAAACATACGTGACTGACAGCACTTTTTTCTTTCGGACAATTGTCGAAAACATCGAATTTCTCTTGCACTCTCTCACTCTCTCATCTCTCAGTTTATTCGGTTTTCACACAATCGCCGACAAACGTGAATTATTTTATCTCACTATTTTAACACTTCGTTCGAAATGGAAAGTCTTAAAATCTTAATTATATTCCTGCTTATTACTCTGTTAGGCGGAAAAATAGCTTTCATTGTTTTTATTCCAACCTTATATGTATTTAACAATTTCTCGAAAATAAGCTTATTAATCAGTTGAAGTTAGTCACTCACATGCTTTTTCAGACTTTTTTTTCAAACTGAATTTCGGATGTATTTTCCTAAATTCATTAAATAAATAGTAGTATTTAGAAGCTGTGATTCTATGTTTAATTAATGCCAAATTTAAGAAAAAAGTTCGTACTTTTTTTCTGAGAATTCCGTACTGTACAGTGATGTATTGTTTTTGAACAGTTCCTGTTTTCTGATTATTGGCCATATAAAAATGCACTCCTCAATTTCGAATGCCTTGAAAATTAGGGTATCGATAGAGATGAAGCAGTTTCGAATCTACAGTAGCCACTCGCAGATTTTTTTCTTGTAAATTCAGGATGTTTTTGACGAATCCGTGGGTATTCGATTAGTTCTAAATATGAAGGTACCTTCATAGAACTAATCGAATAACGTTATATTTATTTAGAAGTTTGATGCTGCATTCGAACACTCGAATATTTTTGGTATTATTCGTAAATATCTTAATGTTTATTTTTCTCTTCCAGTCACTATTGTTTTCACAAAAGTTCAAAGTATCAGTCCTCCAAAGTATTTTGTTTCCGATCACCTCATTTTCCCGCTCCGTCTTTGTATCTCGTAGTGTCTCTCGTTCAAAAATTCTCTACTTCTCTCATTTTCACACGCTCTCTCTTCATCTTTTTTCTTCTCGTGCCGATGGATTCTAACAACACAGAAAACGAGAGAAGAGAACACAACATGAGATTGTTGCTGTGTTGCAGTTTACCTTCTTTATCATTTCATTTCGTCGTCTTTTTACAATACTTGGATGAAATTAAAAAAATCAATTTTGCCGATTCTCAATTTGCCATTTTCAGTCTCATCATGCCGAGCGAGACGAGCCAATTCGGTATCGAAACCGATTCGATCACTTTGCAACGCTTCGTGCTCCAGGAACAACGGAAGCATGCCGACGCCAGCGGAGAGCTCACCAGCTTGCTCACTAACATGCTTGTTGCCATCAAGGCTATTTCCTCGGCAACACAGAAAGCCGGACTTGCCAAATTGTAAGTTGAATTTCTAAAAAAGGTGACACCAATCACGATTACATCGCGAATAAAACGAAGAATGACCAGAATTCGTTTTAGGTATGGAATCGCTGGTTCCACGAACGTTCAAGGAGAAGAAGTGAAGAAGTTGGATGTATTGAGTAACGAATTGATGATCAATATGCTGAAAAGCAGTTACACAACATGTCTCTTGGTTTCGGAAGAGAACGACGAATTGATTGAGGTCGAGGAAAAGAGACGCGGAAAATACATCGTCACTTTCGATCCATTGGATGGTTCGTCGAACATCGACTGCCTCGTCTCGATCGGAACTATTTTCGGAATTTACAAAAAGCGTGGAGATGGACCACCAATTGTGGATGACGTTCTGAAACCAGGAAAAGAAATGGTGGCCGCTGGTTATGCTCTCTACGGATCGGCTACAATGGTCGTTTTGTCCACTGGTGATGGTGTCAATGGATTCACTCTCGATCCCGTAAGTTCTGATAGCGGGATAAATCTCACTGATTAGTTTAAATTTAGTCGATTGGAGAATTCATTCTAACACACCCAAACATGAAATGCAAGGAAAAGGGATCCATCTACTCTCTCAATGAAGGATATGCCAAAACATGGAGCAAGGGTCTCGCTGAATACATCCGTACTCGCAAGGAGCCAGAACCAGGAAAGAAGGCAATGGGACAGAGATATGTCGGATCGATGGTGGCTGATGTTCATCGAACTATTCTCAATGGAGGAATATTCTTGTATCCACCAACTGCTTCTGCTCCAACTGGAAAGCTCCGACTTCTCTACGAGTGCAACCCAATGGCCTATATCATCGAACAAGCCGGAGGATTGGCAACAACTGGAAAAGAACGTATTCTTGACATCCAACCCACTGCTGTAAGTTTCTGGTTTTCGTAAGCAAGTTTCTCATAATTTTTTGTTTCAGATTCACCAACGTGCACCAATCATTCTGGGATCTAAGCTCGACGTTGAGGAGGCTCTGGAATATCTTGCCAAATATGACGACTAAGTTTGTAAGACTATTCGTTATTAGTTTAATTGTTGTACATCTCCTTTCTACTTCTGATTTTACTTTCCAGCACTTTTTTCTATTACATGTTGTCTTACACAAAATTTCACATTGGTATATATTGCATGTTCAATAAAGAAGATTTTTATGAGTTTAAATGTAAATCGAGATTTAAAATATGAGAAGTAAGTGCGGATAATCCTATGATCCGCTGGCAAAACAAACAACTGAGAAGGCTCTCTCTTAAAACAGGAGCATGAAGACGAGAGATGTGGCTCCGCGATGAGACGATTGACTTAAAGGATGAAGAAAAAGAGAGCGAGGACGAAGGAGACGAATCGATGCCCCGCCTGCTTCTGTCCACGTCTACATGCGTGTTTTTTCTTTGCTCGATCAGCAAAAAGAGCGTTCGTCCAAAGTTCGGCACCGAGCCAGGAAGGAAAAAAAGAGACAGATTTTCGATGGTCACAAACTCATCCACGATGTGTCTCATTTCACTCATCAATGCATCCATACACCCTCTCTTCGTTTCTTTTTTCATATATTTTTCTACTTCTTCTTCTTCATCTTTTTACACGCTTCACCCAAAACTCCCCCACTTTTTCTTGCTCTTTTTTACGAGTCCCCCCTCCTGGGACTATGAGTTCCGAGTTCTTTTAACCCAAAAAAAACGAATAAAGAAGTAGAAATAACACATTTCCGAGAAATTTCAACATGAAAACTTAATGAAGTCAAGGCGAATGTGTGGCTGTGTCTTTCACCCACCCGGTGCTCTTTCCCCTTATATTTTTCATAGTTCACACTTTCTCATTTTAATTGTCTTAAAATCCAAAAGAGCTCCCTAGTTTGCACAATAACGTACGCTTCAACTTCATCAAAACGTGCCAATCTGAACGAATAAAGTTAGCGATACTTCTAAGCGATCAAATAAAAATTCAAAGTACGGAGTGCTACTGTGTTTGCTTTTCATACCTCGAGATCTACACCTCGCGCCGGTGTGATTAAACTTATCAAGAAGTCTGCAGAAGCATTAATAAGAGAGAATCACATTTAGTTACTTTTCGAGTTGCCAGTTTTATGGTCAGTGCTCCAGGAAATGGTTTTAAGAAACGCTATAATAGACGATTCAGAATTTTAAAGTTTCTACGAATCGCTCATATTTAGTAATGGACTTTTCTATATCAAAACAATATTCTCAAACTAAAGACTAGCAGAATACCTAAAATAAGACCTTGTGATCAAAAGACAATTGAATTATCCTTCAAGATATCTAATTTGATTTCCTTACCTACTTACATTGATCCTGAAAACTCCAAAAGGCAAACAAATCGAATCTCAATACCGTAAATGTTTTACTGTTCTTCATCTTCTCTCATGTTCTTCATCTTCATCTTGTGTCCAGGAGGCAAAACAAGCATGGGTAGGCTTAGTCGATCCTGACCCACGAGAGCTCCGCTCCAGTCTTTTACCATGATGTAATAGTGACGTAATCCGAGTCTTCGCTCCCGGAGAGAGAGAGAGAAAGCACAATTTCTAATTCATTCGTTGTGTGACGAGGTGGTGGTCGTCCCTCCACCCATTATGCCTTCTGATTGCCATATAAGCTCGACGTTTCCCAGATTGTTACTTCTTTCTCTTCTTCTCTTCTTTTTATTTGCAATCTGCACTTTTTTGTTCGTGGACCGCTTTACTACGAAGATTTCTTGACGAATGGTTGAGAGACGCAGGGAAGTAGATTTTGTGAAAAAGAAAACCCGCGGGAGGGACGAGGAAGAAGAAGAGCACCTTCTCATTTCTTCGCACATGTCCTGCATGACAGCGGCTCGTTATGATAGGAATCATTCGCCCTTTCGCCGAAATTTAGGTGGTCTTTGTCTCAAAATTCTATCAGGGACCAAAATAGCCAGACAACTTGATGCAAAATAGTGTGATAGACGACAGACACTCTGGATGGATCACATGTTTTTTCTTCTGGGGGTTCATTCCGACAACAACAAACTCTTCTTAGTGTTCCCATTACTTTGCTCCAACGATCCTTAAATCATTTTGAATGTTTTATCCCCACTCTGCACTTCTTTCTATTTGTTTCTTTTTCAGCTGCTCATAAAGTCTTAAATTTGTTATTCTTTTTTTTTTCAGATTCGTAAAAATGGACGAATCCAACAAAATGGGGTTCTTAGGAGCCACTTCTTATGTCATTGGTAATATTATTGGATCAGGAATCTTCATCACACCAGCATCAATTCTTCGAAACGTAGACAGTATTGGATTGAGTTTACTCATTTGGGTACTTTGTGCGGTGATCGCTATTCTTGGTGAGTTCAGACCATTTTTGTAAACCTGGCGGTGGCGGTCCTTCGCTGGCCCAACCATAATTTCTTTTAAAATCGATGCTTTTGAACCAACCAAATTGGATATGATAGTACTTGACGAGTATTACAAATTGATATTCTTTGAAAAACAGTATCTGGTTTATGAACAAAGTTATAAACCATAAACTGACTGATCCGGGCCGTGCCCTGCATTATATTTCTACCCGTTTTGTCTGTAACTTTGTTTATATACGGAATACAGTTTTTAAAATACTATCACTTTGTAGTACTCGTCGAGTTCTATCATCTCTATCTGATTCAGTTGGTGCAAAAACATTGATTCTAAAAGGAACTATGGCAGGACCAGCGAAGGCCAACATCCCAGTTTACAATTGTGGTTTAGACAAAAATCGTGTTTAGTAATTTTTTTCTATTGTCCAGGTGCTATTTGCTACATTGAACTGGGTACATCAATTCGTGAAGCTGGTTGTGATTTCGCCTACATCTGTTATGTGAAATGGTACTCCATTGCATTTGCATTCATGTGGGTATCTGTCCTTATGACATATCCAGCTACAATTGCAATTTGTGCTGAAACATTCGGTCAATATCTCATCGAAGGATTGAAACAGGTGATTCTTGCACCGAAAACCGCATGACGTCATTCCCCTTCATTTTTAGTACTACGAAATCGACGAAGCACTGGTGCCGACGTGCCAAAAGCTGTTTGCGTACTCGTTATTATGTGAGTATCTCTTCATTTTTTTTGTTGTTTCGCATCCGTTCTCGCTCTTTGTATTCGTATCCAATTTCTTTCTTTTTTGCAGTTCTCGTCACATGGATGAACTTCTTCGAATTGAGCAAATTTGCAGCTCGATTCCAGATTTTGGCTACTGTAGCTAAACTTTTCTCTTGTCTTCTTATTATTGGAACTGGGTTTTACTTTTACTTTGTCAAAGGTACATTTTCTATTGTTCATCTCAAGTACAAATAACCTTTTCAGGATGGCATGGGTATTTGGAAAACCCAATGCAAGGCTCAAAATACGGAACTGGAAACCTGATTCTCGGTTTCTACGGAGGTCTTTGGGCGTTCTCTGGATGGGACGTGCTCAATTACAGCACTGGAGAGATCAAGCATCCAAAACGAAATGTGCCGTTTGCACTTCTCACAGGAATCAGTGTGGTCACAGCCATCTACGTAGCTATCAACGTCGCTTACTTCGTCGTTCTCGATGTGGAATCAGTGAAGCAATCGGATGCAGTTGCTGCGGTACCATTCCTAAAGGCTCTCTTAATTCAATAGTCCACTTTCTACTCACTTTCAGATTTTTAGTCGTGAGACTCTCGGTGACTTCGCCAACATCATCCCATTCCTGATTGGTATTCTGTTGATTGGATCGTTGAACAGCAATCTGTTCTCTGGAAGTCGCTACATGTATGCAGCTGCTCGACAGGGACATTTGCCTGCTTGCTTTTCGTGTGTCAATGGAGAAACTGAATCCCCAAGAGTGGCTGTTCTGGCACAGGTTTTTTTAAAATTTTATATCTGTATAGAATTATAAATTCAGAGTGTTCTGGCACTGATGATTTCGTACATTGGAGATCTAGACACTCTCATCACTTACGTAATGTTCGGATTTTGGGCTCAGAGAATCTTCAGTCTTGTCGCCCTACTCATCATTCGCCATAACCATATTCCTGTTCATCCAGACGCTGTTAGGGTTCCACTTTTTTGGTTAGTTTGATGTTTATACCACTTTCACTCGAGTTTATTCCATTTTCAGTATCTACTTATTCTTAATAATCACTGTTGCACTGGTCATTATTCCTATTTTCTATGAGTTCCAATCGACCGCTCTAGCTATTGCAATCTGTCTTTTTGGATTTGTTCTCTATTACGTTTTCATCGAGAAGGCAATTTTCCCAAGATGGCTCGTAACTCTTAACAGTAAATTTCTAAATTCAAAACAACTGAAATAATTGAATTTTCAGAGAAAGTAACGCTTTGGTGCTGTATACTTTTCGATTGCCTTCCAGATGTTAAAGGCGGAGTTCAACTTCTTGCTTCAGACAGTTCCCAAGCTCTACTATCTGAAAGACTTTCTTCGACTCGTCTCTCTGACGACAGCCTACCAGATCTCCATTCGGACGAAAAGAATATCATGCGCAGAAATGGAAGTGCTGCTGGTCTCAAGATGTTGTGAGTGATTTAGTTCAATTACTGTATTCATAAATCTTTTCGATCTAGAATTTCCAGCGTTCCGTCTTCACTCGTCGATCTGATCAGCGACGTTCAATAATCCAAATTCAGGTCATCCGAATCACTCATTCTCGCTTTTATGGGTTACAATGTTGTCTAAGTTGCTCATTCTGTTGTTTTTCTTTGCCCCCGTGTGCCTAAGGCTTTATCGAACTTTTTTTGTATAGCACTGATTTGTTTTATTTCACTGTTTTATCAGAAATTTTGCTGCAAGATAAAGTAATATGAAAAAGCTTTTATTAACGCACACTGGTGATTTTTCAAATTTTATAATTTCTGAAATATAGGGAAGACATGATTAAAACTTAGAAAATGATCAAAAAGTTATTAATAAAATGACATAATCGAAAGAAATATACTGAAGCATTACTAGATTACAATGGAAACATACATAGGTGACTAGAAATTAATTTTGGAATAAACAAGATTTATTGTTCACGAACGTAGCACTTTGACTCCTCGTGCTTTGACAAGTAGGACTTTAGAGCGAAATTCTTCCCGCATCTGGAGCACTTGTGTGGTTTAGTACCTGCGAGAAAAATAAATTGGATTAATCATTCGGAGACAATTGGGAGCTATACCTGAATGTGTTTGAATATGGGCTCGCAGGTTGCTTTTGTCGGCAAAACGTTTCAAACAGATCTCACATTCAAATGGTTTCTCGCCGGCTGTAATTTGATAATTAGCAGGTTCTGAGATTTTAGTCAAAGATACTCACTGTGAGTTCTGAGATGTCCTTGAAGAAGCCATTGTCTACTGAACTCTTTCCCGCACACTTTACATTGACAAGCAGGCGAATAGGCACCGTACTTGGCTTTTCGTTCTGGGGAAGAAGGAGTACTGTAGCTGGATGTGACAGTTGTGGATGGTGATGTGGAAGCAGATTCACAGTCCGAAGGAATCAACAGAAGATTTTGAAGATCGGGAGAAGAAGAGGAAGTGGTTGAGGTTGAGACATAAGGGATTGGACGAAAGCGGACTGTGGTGTTGTATTTCTTCTGAAATAACTGTGATAATTATTCAAGATTTTGTACTGTTCCTCTCTGACCGATTTCTAAAATCGCGTCAAATATATCACTAGCTCAGAATGTCCAAACGAACTTGTCACTAAAAGGCATCATACCGGAATCTGGTTCTCAATCCAACATTGTCATATTTTGATAGAAATAAATTGTAGAAAACTCCAACCGAAAACATTGTTCGATATTCAATAATTTAGAAAAATTCAGAACCGAAAAAACCTAAAAACTAAAGTAACCCTATCAGAGTTAGTACCAGATATGTCCGCTGTGAACGAATGGATTCAGGCATCAGGAACCAAAACAAACGGAAAAACCAGAATGCGGACGTTTCTAATGTATTAGGAAGTTTGACAAAAGGTATACTGTAAGCTCTCTAACAGAAGGCTACCAATACTTCGACTTCAAACTCAATTAACTCAATTTCTATAAGAGATAACAAAAATTTGTCAACTGGTAGAATGTTTGCCAAAATTGAGATAATAGAGCTCAACGGACAAGTACAGTGTGGAGTTTGGTTTAAAAAAATTACGAAACGCAGTTAGAAAGACAAGGAATCTGGATTCCGAACATCTCTGGTTGATACTTTAAAAAACTAGAAAAAGTAAGTCTGTGTCAGTTACAGTAACCCCGTTTCTCACCTGAACATCCTCGAATAGGGCTGAAATATACTGTAGAAGGAATGGTGTCGTGAGTACTGGATACGGAGGGATCTCGTATTTCGAAGGCATCTTGTTTGTAACCTGAATGATTTCAAAATTGAAAATTCGAAGGAATATCAATGTGAAAAGTGGGCGTGTCACTTCTCAACCACAGAAGACTACGGTAGTCGAGACATGCGGGAAATCTGTGGTTGTGTGAATATACGATGCTGACGAAGAAGAAGAATGTAAAAGAAAATTAGAGATTGTCGTAAATTTGAATTGGTGCCTTTTTTCCTCTTCTTTGCCCTACTAACTGCTCCTGTTAACTGCTGAGAGCATATGGGATCTGGCGCCCGGGTGATTTGTGTATATTCAGGTGTAAATGCGACAATTTGACGCCCCCAGTTGAAATGAACGGAAGTCTCGGTATTAGAGAGAAACTTTTTAGTTCCACTGGGCAAGGAAGAGAAATCATAAATAGCAAGACTTTCGGAAAATAGATTGGTGACAACGAGATAGTTCAAGAAAAGAATAGAAGAAGGTACTGTGGTAACAGTCTTCTAATTAACTTTGCCATCGCTACCCCATAAATTCAGTCGAATTGGTTCAAATGATTTGATAATGATTCTTCGAGTATAGAAAGAAGTGAGAAGAACCACTCCTTTCGTTTTCTTTAACCTTTCACTTTGCGGATACTACAGCCCCGCCCCAAATAGATGTACGGTATAATAAAAAATATATCAAAACTTTGAAAGTGCAATTTGGTTGGGATTTTCAAGATAAAAACCTATGATCAAAAAGTTGCAGTTGTAGAGCAAGATTTCAAGTTTATGGGCATGTTGCCCATTTCTGCCCATTAAGTCAAAAACCGAAACTATCTAGAAAAGCTGAGTTTTAAGCCAAAAATTTCGATTTAGGAAAAATTTGAAGTCTTTGACGTTTCTGCCCATTTCTTGCCTATCCAGACAAATTTTGAGAAAAAAGATAAGTGTTTCACATTTCTGGATAATTTGAAGTTCTAACAAGTTTCACGAAAATGTGTTTTATGCGAATTAGTATGATAGAGAAAATTTAGAAAATAACAGCAAAAGATAGGATTTCAGAGTTCTACGGTAACGTCTGAAAATAAGAAATTCACGGTCTCCCAGCGTGAAAATTTTTGGTTAAAAAACGAGAAAAAATGTCTCTGCGTCTCTACATCTTTCACGCTATTTTTTCTCAGTGCAATTTTTCGCAGATTCAATTGGAAAACTGGATGAACAGCTAAGAACGTCTCAGAAGCGTTCAAAAATCGACATTTAAAAAACTTTTTTCACGGATGATAGAAATCACATCCGAAATTTTAAGATAAGTTTCAGCACTTATCTAAAACTATCAAGCAAGATATGAAGCTTTGAATACTTTTTTTAGGCTTTTCGAGTTTTTGAGCAACTCTTTTTGTTTTATAAGCAAATTAAGTTACCTTTATATCAGAAAACATAGAAAATTTGATACTTGATTGTTGTTTGCAAAAAAGGCCACCTTTAACCTACTGAAAATCGCCTCCAAAGTGCGAAATCGCTCAATGTACTACTGTTTGACCCCCTAACTTCCGAACAAAGCCGAAAATCAAAAATCAAAGACAGAGGAATTGTAGAACAATCCATTACAAAACTTTTGGTGTATTGACCACTATGATCGGTTGGATACTCGCAGAGTTATGCAGGGTACAAATTTCAGTACAAAATTCTTAAAAACCCCCGATTTTTGACACTTTTTCAAGATTTTCAAGAAAATGAGGACCTAAATCAAAAATCGAAAACGGAGCAAATGTAGCAAATGTCTCTGCGGTATTGATGACGTTTTCATTTTTTCGATTTCGTAAAAACCTGATAGACTTATGTACGGTTGAATGAAACCGGTTTTTATCAATTCGGCGTTCACTGGTTCATAACTTTGCTCAAAATGCTCCAATTTTCGTAAAATTTCTTGCAGGTGAGGTTTCAGTAACATAGCAAATAATTTTTTCTTAAAAAAACTCAAGGTCGTACTTTTCAGTGGTTTCCATTACTTTAGTGATAAGCTTCTATTAGCCCAAAAAGAAGAGAAAGAAGGGGAGGGACGTGAAAAATTAAATTTAGCTGGAGTGCAGACGACGAGAGAACTTTTTCAAAAATTTTCACTTTGGGAGACCGTGAAATTCAAAAATCTAGAAAAAAAAAATTGTCAAAGCCCTAATATGGAATCGAATAGAAACACGACCAACAGGTATTCGTGATATCAAAAACCAAAACCTGTGAATAGAAGTACCCACCTACACAAACAAAATGTAAATTTATTCTCTTTGAAGTCGATCAACTTTTTTCTCAGAGGTACTGTATATGGCGGAAGAGTTGAAAAGAAAAAAAGAAAGAAGAGTTTCAAAAAACATGTGTCAGGAAGTGAGTTCACAAAAAGAACACATTGCGACAAGTGTCAGTGACAAATGGGGGACAGTGACCGTTTGGGAGGAGTTCTGTGATCTGTTACCGGAGAGGCGGGGTTATAAAGAGCCGCATATTGAAGGAGTGGGCTCTTCCGGTACCAAGTAACAGGGAAGGGTTATTGGGATTAATGAGTGCTGAGTAGGTCGGTAGACATAGAACCAATCAACTCGGCGCGATTTTTTCTAGTCAGTCTTATGAGTTTTTAGATGGGTGTCACGCAAGCTAGCGAAAAGTCATGTCTAGCATTGCTCCTAAAGTAGGAGGAGTGGATGAATGATACTTGGAAACTGCCTAGGCTATAAATGGGACATTAGTATCAGTCGGAAAATATATTATAATTAAAACTAAAACCCAATGCCCCGCCCCTTGCAATAATGCAGACCACTATTGTATGTCAAAACCAACACACGTGGCGGCTCTTTTTTATTACAACCCCTTTACAACCAAAACATGCCTTTTTTCGGTTACAGATTTGAATTTTCTTCCCAGGAGCTGGAATTCTTTCTCCCGGAAGATTGTAAAACAACATGACCAACTGTGGGCAATAAACCTGATGTAGTTCATATGTTTGAATGTATTCCGGCAGACACTGTTTTTGAAAGGGACCCATCCAAATTCTGTTATGTAATACAAAGAGGATACTCATCAGAAAGAGTTCCTAGATACACAACAAAATGTTCAGTGGTATTTGTTATTACAATAGCAAATATAGCAAATAGAGAAACGGACTACGGTCGAATGCACCAACTGATACTGTGTCTTACTAGGATCTAATTAGAAAATGTTTTTTGTCGTTGATATTTTATTAAAAGCGATCAATTAAAAAGTTTCATTGTAATTTCGTTCAGAAAATTTCAAATTCATTGAACGGATCATAATAGTGAAGTCCCAAAAGAAAACAACCGAGAGAAAAAGCTAGTACTGCGAATTGCATCAACTCTCCACGGATCCCAAATCTTTCAATATGTTCGAACAACTCATCATCTTCATCATCTTCACCTTCGTAGTACAGTCGAAGTAAATTATAAGCACTAAGTGCAAGACTTGAACATAAGATGAATGCAGCGAAACGAAAAGTTCTGAAACTCGAGATTTAGATGGTGCATGTTATATTCTTAAAACTATGGATACATTCAGGACGTGTAAAAAATTACCAAAGATTACAGGCTCGAAATTTGAGAAAATTCATAACTACTGTAGGATTTGCTAAATCTTACTGTAGTTTTGGAATCAGATATTTTGGTAGTTTTTACACCTCCTGAATAGATTCATTACTGTTTGAAATCCAATATATTTATTTGCTCTATTTTCTTCTTTGACACCTCCGTGTTTTTCTGTGCTTCGTAGGCATCCATGAAAACCGTTTCTTGGTTTTTCGCTATGTGATAGTGATGCTGAACGAAAAACATTAAGGGGATTTTTCAGAAAGACTCTACTTACGTTTTCTGGAGATCTATCCGTCAGATTCCACGTGTAATTTCCAGAGACATAAGACGGTGGCTTCCAGAAAATCAGAGCAAGAGGAACGTGGCTTTTAGCTCGACAGTATGAATTCAGAAGCGGTTCAATGATGACGTCGGTCATACCACGACTACGCATATCGATGTATTGCTAAAATGATAATGATTATGAACCCATGATAAATCTTATTCAAACCTCGAACAAGACTTCCTGTGTGCTAACTGTGTAACTGGTATGATTGCGGGCATTTATACCAGAAGTTTGAAATTGATACCATGTGTGACAACTGAAAATAATTGGCTAATTGATATCAGCTACTATAATAATTATTTCTTACTCATCGGAAGTTTTGAGAACATCGAGAAACTCATCATATAACGTTTTTTGAGGAATCGAAACCCCAGAAAGAGAGAGTGACAGAGGGAGAAAACAAACAAAAATAAGACAACGCATCATTTTTCTGAATTCAGAAATAAATTATTTAAATACGATATGTGGATGAGAAGATACTTGACACGTTACAACATTCAATAGCAATGCAATGCAACAAATCATAAATAAATTTCAGAAAAATGCAAAATTCATTTCTAAACTCATTTTAGCTTTTATTCAAACTACTCGTTTCTGGTAACTAATACTCGGATGAATGAGTAAGAATTTAAAATCACAATGCAAAATAAAAAATATAAAATTTCAAGCTGCTGAAAAGAAAAAAGGCAGTGTAAAAAAGGACAAACGTTCACGATCATCGTCAAATTCTCGAGGAAACAAGTCAAAAAACGGGAATTCAAAAGAAAGAAAACCGGATAGAAAAGAAACAAAAACAAAGTCAAAAATGTCGGATCGATCGAAATCTTCTCAACAAAAATCAGTGACAAAAGGGTTGAGCCCTCCGAAAAGTAGAAAATCCTCTTATCATAAATCAGTGAAACGAGATGTCGAACCATCGAAAAACAAGAAGTCGTCACTTCAAAGTCTTCCGACGGAACCTTCCGATGTTTGTAGGAGTCTGATTTTAGACACAAACTGTAACATGTAAATTTCAGCACGAGATGGATCAAACTCAATGGGAATTTTCTCGATACAAAGATGAAGCGGTTGGAATTGTAAACGAAGATCCAAATGTTTATGTGGCTGATAAAGTTGGAGAAGGAACTCCATTTCTGGCAGAGCAAAAACAAAAAATGATGATTCGAGGAGAGCACTTGAATGACAAGCCAATTTACACACTATTTTTTCTATTTATCGAAATTGTTAGTTTTTTTTTCAAGGAATAAAAAAAAAAGAAATCCAAAAATTTTAGATTCTGGCTCTGACAGTTTTGATTGCTTGGAGTTTCTTTCTTGGAGAAAATGAAACGATTCCGATCATTCTCTGCTACACAAACGTCATCATCATTCTGATTGTTCTCGTCATTGTATTCGTTATCCAGTTTGGAAGGTTCAATGTTGTCAAAGAGGAATTGGACGAGGATTCCAGATTTAGGATTCCATACGAACGGAAATATTTTGTAAGTTCTATACCGATACAAGCCATACTAAATGTTTTCATTGAAGATCTGCCTCTTCCACATGCTCCGGTTCTTCCTAATCTGCTCCAATATAACCATCGGTGCTCTGGATAACAACTTTGATGGAGGTGTCATTTGCATCGTATCCGCCATGCCGGTCATGCTCATTTTATCTGCAGGACACGTGTTCTTTGCGTTGAGACCTCAAGGTTGATATTCACCCAATAAACCGTCCATATCTCATTTATTTTTCACGTAAACTTTGTATTTTTTCTATGTTTCAATCCCACGTGGATTCTAGGTTAATCCAGTCAGCGTCATAAGACTCCAGCTGACTTTTATTCTGTGTGTCAGTCCAAAATGGACGTTAAAGTTGTTGTCACCAGATGCGAAGACTACACTGAAACGGTAATAATGTCTTCATTTTTCCCATTTCTTTCATTGACCGGGTCTGTGCGGGCCTTAGCGGGATCTGCCGTAGTTTCTTTTAGAATCAATATTTTTATACCAACTAAATTAGATACTATAAAATTTGACGAGTGCTACAAAATGATATTATTTGGAAAATTGTGTCTTGTCTATGAGCAAAGTTACAGACAAAAAACAGAGGCTCGGCCCGGGCCCACACGACATGGTCCTGCCACTTTATGACTTGTAACTTTGTTTATAGACAAGACACAATTCTCCAAATAATATCATTTTGTAGAACTCGTCGAGTTCTATCATTTCTAATTTAGTTGTTCTAAAAATATTCTTCCTGAAAGACACTATGGCAAGGCCCGCGAAAGACCCGGCAAAGGCCCGGTCACAAGTATGCATTTCTTAGATCGGCCCTGTAAGGGTATTTTGAATTTTCTCTGAATCCTACTTTTCCTACTTTTTCCTACTTTTTGAATGAACAATTACAATTACAATAATCTGAAATTTTCTCCATATTATCTTCTTTCTATGTTTCAGGTGGCTCGTAAAACAAAAAAAATTCTCCCTACAATCGGGCGTCTTCTTTTGATTTCAACTTTTGTTGAGGATGGCATCCGTCTTCTTTTCAATGCTGCTGATCATGCCAGCCATTTTTCGGTGATTACTAATTTTAATCGAACTTTTGATTATCTTCTGAATATCAGGAGACGTGGGGGATGAATTATAACTTCGCATACTTTCTCACCATTGTCATGATGTTCAACCTTCTTTGTGGATCTCTTCTTGTGATGCTTAGATTTAGAGTAATCTGTTTTTTTCAGATTTTTTTTCTTTCGAACTAATTTTCAGGTCGCCGAATCGTGTGCTGTTTTGGCGACCACCATATTCTTCCAAGTTGTCCTTTACCAATTGTACGGTACCTATCATCTCTTGGGCCGGAACTTCTCAATTCTTGCTGCACTTCTTCTACTTGTTACTGAGAATATGCTCCAGAAGCCAAAGAAGTACGATCCGCTGCCAAAGGATGAGAACGATTATGAAGTAAGTCAAAAATAATTGAACCTAAAACATTTACTCGTTTCCAGGTGACATCTGTAATGCTGTGTTGTTGTCGAATGTTCCTGAATCTGATGCTCTGCTCCATGATTCATTTCGATATGAGCTATAGACGTCTTCTACTTTGCGCAGTCTCATACGCTATGATGATGGCCGTGTGGTGTGGATACAAGACCCGAATGATTAGTTTCATGCTTTCCGCATGGCTTCTGGCATACAATATCTTCCTCAACGACTTCTGGAATCGAGCTGTCAACTCTCATGTTATCAGATACGACTTCTTCCAAACGCTTTCCGCAGTCGGAGGCCTTCTTCTCTTAATTCACACTGGTCCAGGAGAGCTTTCGATCGACGAGTTGAAGAAGAAATGGTGAATTATAAATCTTTTTTTGTTTCTATGGAAACTTATGTTTTTTATTTATTTATAAAGCAATAAAATAATTTTAAAAACAACAGAATTTTCAAAATAAATGAACGGACAAAACCAGTGAGGAAAAAGGTTCAGATCACAAATGGGAAGTTAATTAAACACCGAAATGGGGGATTGTTTTTTTTTTGTTGGAAAGCGTATGAAGAAAAGAAGATAGAAGGGGTAGAAATCCTTGACTGATAAATATATACAACCCAAGAAGAAGAAGATGAAGAAGTTCCAAACCCAGTGAAATAAGACAATATGCATAAGAACTCAAACTCGAAGCTCTCCAACTTTTCGTTTCAATATCGGCTGTGGAGTGGCCGGAGCCGATTCACCAATTACAACACTCTTCTTTCGTTGTTCATTTGATCCTGGAATTTATTGAAACTTTGAATAAAGCGATTTGTTAGAATGGCCTAGAACGGGACTGATTCTAATACAGCATAATGTCATCAGCGAAATGATAAATGTACAGACATTACTGACGAATAGAAATCAAAAAATATTGAATTGATACAGCTAAAATAGCAAACCACTTGTGAATCGAATGTGACTAATTATTAATTTCTATAGTGACGCAACGAGACAACTGAATTCAAACAACTAATCAATAATCGATCTGAATATGTTCTTTTTTCTCTATTCATGATATGTCACCAAGCAAATTTGTGTGAGTGAATTGACAAAGTGAGGGGGTGAAAAGTCAAAAAAGAAGAAGCGAACGAACGAACCGACGTGACGAGCACGCTACCTCTGAGCAGTTCTGCAAGAGAAGATAACTCTCTTGAGATGTCACTCAATTGATGCTCAATTGCAGTTATACGAAGGGAAAGACCCTCCTGTGTTGAATGAACATCATGAACCAACTCATATGTATTTGACGATGTCTGAAAAATATTTTAAATTATGTACAAAGTTCTTCTGAAAAAAAAACGAAAAACAAACCTTCGCCACATCACCAAGAGACACCAGATTCTCAGCTAGCTTTCTCTGATCTCTGCGAACGCGACGCATTCTGAAAAACCCCAATTATTCCAATTAGAAGATGTTGACAATATCTCACTCATAGATAGCAAGAAGGAATTTCCGTGTGTGCTTTCGAATTTTAGAATGATCTGGTTTCTCGATCAGCTTTCTGTATTTATAGATGAACCAAGTCTCTCGGAGCACATTTGCAGCAGAGTGTTTCAGCTGAATGTAGGACTATTTGTGAAATTCAAAACCCAAAATACTAACTTGTCTGGTAAGTTGAGTGTCCTGCATGAAGTTATGAACATGCTTCTCAGCTCTGGTCAGTTCCAATTTCCTTGCAATCACAGCCACAACCATCGAAGAGGCACAAGTACCCAGAATTCCAGTTACCACTGCCATACTTCTTCCACAATAGGTTTTCGGAACGATATCTCCGTATCCAACAGACAGGAAAGTGATTGCTACGAGCCAAATTGAATTGATATAGTTGAACTCTTTTAGAGGATCCACTTTTTCCAACGAATCTCTTTCACACAGACGAAGAATCCATCCGGCAACCATCCAGAGAAAAGCAGTGAAAATCATAAGCATTGTTCCTGGACACATTGTCATTAGGGTCTTCAGAATGAACCGAGCATTGAAGTTGACGCGATTAAGACCAGCGATACTACGACTGCTGGCATCAGTGAAGAGCCTAAAATTGAATAATTAGCATCGAAAGTCTCATTTCAAAACTTTACCTTGAATGGAGAAGCATGACTCGACAGAGCCAATACAATCGGAAGAACATCATGATGGAGAGAAGAACATTGACCGCATAAAGGCTTCGATCTTGAACTTTTTCACCGACAAATGGGCCAATGAACTCAATGGGAATGGGACACAACATGCAGATGAATAATTCCAGACATATTTGATAGATTCTTCGGAATGATAGTGCAACCATCCAATCTTCTGCGGCATTAGCATTCATGAAGAGCTAAAAAAATAGAGAAACGTAAGAAATTTTCTTTTCTAAAAAAATATTTTACCTGAATCTCAATCACATGGAAATATCCGACAAAACTCAAAAGAATTGCTGTAGTTGCTAAAATCGAAAGCTTCAAAGTTTGGCTAAGAAACGATCCTGGTCGAATGAGAAGTCCAGTTCGTAGCTCGTTTTCGATGATCATAAGTACTGAAATTTAATTTATAAATAGAAGAGAAACTCATTATTTTTATGACGTACTTATGCCTATAACTGCAAACGCCAACGCTTTATCGGATACCGATCGTCGTTTCTCATGAAGATGCTCACGACGAATCAGACGACCGCCACTGAAATATTCTGATTATAGAGAACTTCTCAAACAGTTTCTTCATACCTATTCTCATCTTTCTCATCCATCAATGGAGTCGTGGAATCATCTCCTGTTCCTCCTCCTTTTCCGGCTTCTAGATCATTTGAATAAGCAATCGAAACTGATTTTCTCGATGCGGTTTCTCCTTAAAATGGAAATATGACTTCTTTAAATTAGTTCTGGATCAAAAAATGTAATATTATTGTATTTCCCTACTGTCATGAGAAATCCAAGAGAGTCCTTGAGGTCCGAGAATTCGACGAAGAAGGGCTTGTTCTCGTGATGGTAAATAAGCCATACTCATTCTTCTTCCACCATCTGCCAACATTTCTGGATCAAAATTTCGGAACATCGACTCAGAATTCGACCGCTGCTTCAAGTCGGAAAGCCTCCACTTCGAAGGATCCCGTCGGATAGTTCCCAATGGAGACATTGAACATGGCGATGGATTACATGACCCTCCAGGGCCACAGTTGTAAGAAAAGACTGGTGTTCCATTTGAGGTGAGAGATATATGACCCTGGTGATGATTGTGATTACTTGTTAATCCTCCATAACTGAATTTCCCTGCTCTCAGTCTGTTCGGTCTTTCGAACATGTGATAACTTCCCGACGTGGAGACACAAGAACTCTTTGCAGTAGGTGTTGGACTTGCAGGAACATCGAATGACAACTGTTTGGGAGCAGAAGTCAAGCGTGGAGCTCTGAGAATCGATTTAGGAGCAGAAGAGCTTCCTCCGTTTAATAGTGGATCATCGGGATTGTCAGTTACTGGAGATCCCAGCATTGTTTCATGAATCGGTCGAGTTAGAAGACTCGCTGATGAATGAGTCGAACGCAGCGGAATGGCTGGGGATGGGCTTGAAGATCTTGTTGTTGGTGGTGGTGGGGAAAAGAGACTGGGTGACAGTTCGAACAGAATTATGAATTTCTGAAGACGTAATAATCTTGGGCGTGTAAAAAGAAGAAGAGTGAACGGCTGAAAAGATATGTTATGCTCGAATGAAAGATACCGAATATCCTAGTTAGTGTGCTCATCGGAGCGTCATTTGATGAACTGATTCATCGCCTACATGTGATAAAAAAGCTTATGGTGTGGGAAATGAGAAAAGGAAATGACGATTTGGATGTGGAGGGAAATACGAAAAAAAAAAAATAAACGGAGAGTGAAAGAGTCCTCCGATTAAAATGGGAAAAAGGTTGTGTTAGAGATGGAGAAGAGAAAAAGAGAAAGGGAGACGATTACAACTACCCTTCCAGCCATAGCTTATAATTAGTTTTTTGCCACCCCGATCCGATCTCTTTCCAGACACCCTCCTCGCATTTTCATATATCTTCATTATTATTTTTATTACAGCCATCTGATATTTTGTCTTTAAAACTATGATTTGAATTCAAAAATCGAGGAAGAAGAAATAGAATGGCTTCCGAGTAAAAAAAGTGAAAAAAGTTGTATATTTGGAAAAACAAGGAAAACGAGAAGAAGGTTGAGAGAACGTCCGGATGTCGAATGTCATGGGTAAAAAGACAATTTGCTGGTTTTCGAAGGAGGAAAACAATTCGGAGATGATTGACCTACGGACAACAGGTAGTAAAAAGCAAGAGAGCACTATTAATACTTAAACTAGGTTGAATAAAAATGGAAGAAGCGTAATTTTATAAGTTTGAAAAAAAAGTGACTTTTCGAGCAAAACATTAGCTTAAGTCTTTCAAGAGTCGTTTTCCGAAAATTTGTTTATAATTTTAAACAAGCACTAAAATAGGGAAGGAGCTCCTTTACTAGTAACAAGATCTAAAGAAATAAAGTGACGAGAAAAAGTTGTTTTGAGCAAAACCCGAAAGTTTATATCAGCTGATTTCGAGACAAACTAGTAATCGACATGTGGGAAAAAGGGCGATTCCTCAGAAAAAACGTTTTGTTGTATATAGAAAATATTTTGTTTTTAGTGAATGACACTTTGTAGTAAACTAGTCAAATGTGTGGCAGTAGAGATCCAAATTTAATTCAGAAAAATAAACGCATTGACCACCAGCAGAAATAGCTTTCTCTCTCAATGGAAATTGGCTCCAAACATCTGCTCTTTTCTTCAAAATTCGATCTTTCATACATCAATTTTACTATTTTGCCCCCAGACACCTATAACAATAAAAACGGAGAAAATTTCCGATCTTTAGAATCGAAGGTCTCAAACAAATGGGGAAAAAAAAGGAAAGAATTGAAGGCACTTTTAGTGGTCACCGTCATTTTCAGGCACACATTGAAATGGAAAATGGAGGAGAAGAAGAAGAAGAAGAAGAAGAAGAAGAAGAAGAAGAAGAAGAAGAAGAAGAAGAAGAAGAAGAAGAAGAAGAAGAAGAAGAAGAAGAAGAAGAAGAAGAAGAAGAAGAAGAAGAAGAAGAAGAAGAAGAAGAAGAAGAAGAAGAAGAAGAAGAGCACGAATAATTGATGAGATAATGTTCAAAGTTAGAAGAAGAAGAGACCACTGAATACGTAAAAAGATGAAAAGAACATTTGTGAACACAGGAAGATTTCAATGAATCAGAATTTCTCCGTCACGAGAGTTATAAGATTTTAGACACCGTCCCTTATCGGATTCATCGTCTGATCCTATGTTCTGTGATTATGTGAAGTTCATCTAAATATTTATTCGAAAAAATTGAGAATCACGTAAGCAAACGTCATCTGAAAGAGAAAATGAGAGAGGCAGAGAGTCAATTCAATTTGCACTGATTTAAATGTTTTTACTCTTCCAACCTTTTCCTTTTTTTCCCAATTTTCTCAATAGACTTTTTGCAAGAATTGAAACATAGCAATTTGTTTTAAAAGCGATGAGAATCGAATCAGTAAAAAGCAAATCAGAAAGATTGTTTTTTTAATGGAAGGAGTCATTGAAGAATTCGGAATTCTGGATACGGAATGTTAAAATGACTAATCTGAGTCAATTAGCATTCCGGTCCAGACGTTGGATCCTTGGGGAAATCGAAAAAGAGAAATTCAAGAAGTTTTTGGGAGGGAGGGAAGCATCCGTTGCAAGATTCTGTCAGTTATAATGATCTATTGATATGAAAGCTGAGACTTTTTTGGGAGGAACAAGAAAGGCAATACCAAACCATTGAAGAGTTTTGGAAGATGTAGGGCTTCTTCTTTAAGCATTTAGAAATTGAGAGAGTTCGTTCCGAGAAAAAGATAATTGGATCAGAACTGGAATATGTGTCAAAAACACCGAATGTAATAGTTAAATTGCACAGAAAAATAAGAAGATGTATTTTTGACAGCTTTCATGGAGTCCAGAAAGGACCACTGATCAGTATACGTTTTTTCTGATATTTTTAGATCACCGAAAATCTGGTCTAGATATTCGTGGAATTTGAGACGGTGTTTGTTATGACAGTGTCTAAACACAATAATAAAATTCAAAAAATCAGAAGGTTGAAAAAACTTTAATGAATAAGCTAACTTTTAAGATATCGATCTGAAACTAGACAAGAAAAAAGTCACACTCTGTCTAATGTGTTTTGTATCAGATGAGTAAAATCTAAAAGAGAGAAAACGAGAAGGCGTCGCAAGAGCGAGAAAGCATGTCACGTTTCAACTTCTCAATTAGCCATCGGTCGTTGCTTCCTTCGATTTTTGTGTGTTTAATTTTAGAAGAATAGCACACATCCTTTTTTGTTTCAAAAGAAGGGATTAATCAACAATTGTTGCTTTCCACTAGGGCAAAACACTTTTATCAAAGAATTAGTGCTAAGGCAAGCGATGTATGAGGTGAGGGAGGTGTTATGATGATCCTACAATGCTAAAAGCTTTAATCCGGATGAATGAGAGATCCTAATCGAAATCAGACTATTCGTTTAAGAAGATTCGAAATGAAAAAAAGAAAAGAGAAAGCAATCATGCTCATGGAGACACTTTCGTAGATAGACACACCCTCCTGCCACATTTCGGATCGAAAAACACACCGAAAATTTCATGAATCAATGTGAGGTAGGACTGGAAAAATAAGGACGAAGAAGTAGAAAAAGAAGGCGACAACGGAGAAGGGAAAAAACAACACAAAACACATTTATATTGGGAAAAAAAGCAAAGAGTATGGAAATTGTACCCTTTCTTTCTTGAATATGCATGATTCTGATAATGAGCATATTCAGGAAGAAGGAAGAAATCGGACACCAAACTTGTGTACCTAAATGCCAAAAAAAAACTGCAGATGTTCAAGCTAACTTTTGGTTTAGGATAAGGGGAGAATGCTTTAGCTTCAACGAGGATAAATACAACCGGAATTGTGATTACCGTAACACCTGCATCAAAAGGGCCCCCACACTGTCACGTTTGAGCTCAATTATCTCGACTCCTACGCAAGATGTCAAAAATGTCTAAACTGATAAAATGTTTGTGATATAGGAAAGTGGGAATTTCAAAATTTTTTAAATCTTCGATTTTTTCGTAAAAAATTAGCCTTTCCGTGGTTTTCCAGAGAATACATATATTCGAGTCAATGATCACTGTGATCTGTTTTTTCCTTGCAAATTTAGTCAAAAATTGAGTAGACTACAGAAGAAAATTTTTTCCTGTTTCATGTTCACGTGAAAAATATTTATTTAGATCATCAAATATAAAAAAAAAGATATTTAAAAAACACAGAAAGGAAGGCACTTCTTTTCTGTATAGAAAAGAATAGACACTTAAAAAGACAGAAAAGAATCAACTTCCTTTCTGTGCTTTTTCTGTGTGGGGGAAAATAATTCAAGTTATTCCTGATAACTACGTGAACTTTAACTATACAGAGTTAAAGGTGGTGTGCGGTGAAACATTTTATTGCTTTATTTTGTGCAGAGTTCCATGTAGATCCCCATAAAAATAACAAAAAAATTCAAAAAAAATCCTTCATTGAGAAAAACGGCATCGAAAAGTCAAAGTGGGAACCGGTGGCCTAGCTGCCAGGTGTGAGTTTTCTAGGCCAACTTCCGGTAAAAGCGCGCGAAACTCGAATTTTTATTGATTTGCA